AAATACAGTACATTCTCCCTAATTGACGCTCAGATTGTGCACGAAAATGGATAATATGGGAAAAGGCTCGTTTCTTATAGTTGTCGATTGTCATAAATTATAAAAACGAGATGGATATACTATATATATTATATTATATTAGTATTATATATATAATATAATATACTAATATAATACTAATATATATAAATATATATATATATATATATATATATATATATATATATATATATATATATATATATATAATTATTATTATATTATATTATATATATATATAATTATATATATTATATATATATTTATATTATATATATAATACTAATATAATATAATATACTAATAATATATGTATAGTAATATAATATATATAACGTATAAATATATAACGAATAATCGTATCTCCTTCACTCAAATTGTCCATCGATCCGTGCACAATCTGAGCGTCAATTAGGGAGAATTTACTGCATTAACCACTTTGTTACTGGAACGGAACGAATAAGTAAACGATCGTACAACACGAGCAAATCAAAGCTATCGAATCACGTACGGGACACGCAACTGTTACACAATTATTATACGAGACTTCAAATCGAATTTAAAACCGTACGAACTTATCGGAACGATCCGATAGCACGATCATAAATCTAATTGAATCACGTTTGTCGCCCGACAAGTATTTGGACTTCGACAACCTGCCAGAGACGAACTTCTCGTGTCAGGGAAAGGTGATCGGCGGTTATTACGCTGACGTCGAGGCTGGATGTCAGATGTTCCACGTCTGCACCATCGGTCAGAAAGGTAACACAGTGCTTCTGACTCGGCTTCACCAGATATTAACTCGCAATCGCCACCGAAATGCTTCGTCTTTCCATAACTGAGCGCGCCGGGCGGCGGCCGGGTCGATCGGGACCCGCGGACACGTTCGCTTCGATTCTAATCGGTCCTTGAATTGATCCGTCGATCTGTCGAACGCAATTGAACGTTGTTGGAAAAAGCAGGGCTGGGAAGAATAGATTTTTCAAATAATAAATAAATTATAAATATTTGTTGTCTTTTAATGCGATACAAAATTTGAGGTATAAACTTTTCTTTCGAAATAATTGTTTCATATGGTAATAGCATTTCAAATATATTCAATTACGTAATAGCCACGTGTAACAATTATTCTAAAAAAAATTTATTTGCTAAATTTTGTATTAAATGAGAAGATATAAATATTTATAGTCTATTTGCTATTTTAGAAATCTAATTTTTTACAGCTCTAGAAGGAACTTATTCCCTTCGAAATGTATTTATACTGTCAGAGAAAATAAAGGGGATACAATTGTCTCGGGTCTCCGTCGACCCGGCCGCCGCGCCGGTGGCACAGGTGTTGAGCAACGTCGTAGAAAGTGTGAGAGAAAAAGAAATAACAGATTTCTCAATTGGGCAGCGCGATAAATCGACGCCGTATCCGACTGAAAAGTCACCAAAGTCAGCCGGGATCGGTTTCTCGTGACGGGCCGAAGCCAGACACTCTCGGCTTAGGTCAGTAAACGTTCCTCGACGACCGTGACATTCTCGGCCGAGTGATCTCTCGATCGATTACAAAACTTGGATCGGCGCTCGCCGGGCCCCCGGGCGGACCTTTCGATCATTCCATCGGTCGATCGGCCGATTTGTCGAGACGCGACGCCCAACGCGCGTCTAATTATCGATTCTAATTGTCACGACACCCACGAGATCCGATCGGTAGATCGCCGACGGGAACCTGCCCCCTCTACGATCTTTTGCCGCCGTCAATTAACCGTTTCGAATCCTTAGATATTTTATTATAAATCTCGATAATTTATTTACCCTTAGCATTCGGATGATTTTTCTGATAAATGCAAAAATTGTTACTATACGAAGACAAATTGAAATAAAAATCATTATACTGTTGCAAAAATTTATAGGAATTCGTAAATAACAGATTTTTCGTTTTTATTTATTTTACCATACCATTATTACTATTATTTTACCATTTATTTTTTTGTTTACCATACGATGTGAACAAAATAATAATAATTAAAAAGAAATGGCACTTTTCTGCCAAAATCTGCCAAAACTGTGATTTTGCTACACAGAGTTGTATTGAAATAAAAATCATTAGACTCTTGTAAAATTTTATAAGATTTTATAAATAGAAGATTTCTTGTTCTTATTTATGTATTTTGCACGATTACCATACGTTATGAAAAAAGTAATAACAAATGAAAAGAAATTGCAATGACGATTTATCCTAATGTCGGCGAGCAAAGGGTTAATATAAATCGATGCGATTAAGTCGCTGTGTGACATTTCACTTTTTACCCCAAGGTTGTCGATTCAAATCAAGAAATGCTCAGACATTTTTATCGCGTTGTAAAAATGGGTTGTTAATCCTTTATCGCATGGTCCAGAGTTCGTCGATCAGGGCCTGATTCCGTTGTTAAATCTTCGTCGGTCGCGGTAACGAAGCCAATTATTGCCGCCGTCTGCCGACAGTTATGGCAAGCGATGAGAACGCAGTTGCGAAGTAGAAATTTTGGGCGATTGGCAAAAGTAGTTAGCGGCGTGTCTAGACGTTCCGTGAACGATGACCCTGAAGAGCATCCCCGAATAATGAGCCCGTCCTTCACCACGAGACTTGGTTTCAGACGAGATTATGGACATAAAGTTCCTCTGTCTGAACGGGACCGTCTTCGATCAGGAAACCAGGGTCTGCGAACGCGTCGACGAGGTCGACTGCAGCAAGAGCGAGCGTTTCTACAACCTGAACTTGGAGCTTTACGGGAACAACGCTGTCACTCTCAGGTAGGCTGATGATTTCCCTAGAAATACTTCATCGTAGCGTTGCGCTGAAAATGATCTTATCCCGAGGCCACCAAATTTCAGTTCATTCGCGTTGAAATGATCGCAACAGTCGTCGTTGCGCCGTAGATTCTCTCCTTCGAGCGAGGGAAGTGACCACGGGTCACAGTCGACCCACGACAACATCGGCTAAGCATAAATATAATTGCTACACTTTCTAGCAGCGCAAGTCCCGGAGTTAAACGCTCTCTTTTTTCCCGGTAGTCGAGGCGCCGGGTCAATTTTGACCCGGGCGTCACGCTAACCGGCCAGCCGGACCAGCTTTCCCAATAGACATTTCCCGGGCCAACGTACTCATTTACCAGCTCGAAAAACGGGTTCACGCGACATCCAGGTTCAACGTTTCCAGCTGTCGATCACACGTCGCGCGTAACTCGTGTCCCAGTCGACCGGCGAATTTATCTCTAAACTACATTGTATTATGTATACAAAGTGAAAAATGATCATTACGACCCGGCGGATTGGTCAGCTGCACCTGTCGCGCGGACTGTTTATCTGCGACCGTCTGGACGTTCACCCCAGGGTTTCGTAAGGACCAGAACACCGATCCACATACCAGCGCCGCTTTCGTGTCAGCGCGGCGGCAGCGGCATGGCAGCGGCGTGGCGTGATACAGGGGGATCGAGAGGCGTGGACTGCTCCGCGAGATTGCGTGCGCGACGCCGATTTTTTCATCGATAGGCACTCTCGCAGTTTTCACTTGTTATAGCGTCACGCCTGTCGGCCGAATTACATGGTCCACCGGCGTTACTTTGTCGGCGATATGTCAGCTAAATGTTGCCTGATCATGGCACCTGGCTGATCGAAAGGCCATCGAGCCTTTCGTCTTTGATCCTCTTAGACGATAGTCGTCATTGTAGTTGCGAAGTAGAAAGATCCAAATGCAGGATAGGGTAGCTAAGTAGAGCTAACTAACTGGAAAGTCTGTTTGCTACTTTGGCTAGCTTCGAAACTCCGAAAACCCGTCGTGCTAAGTCATGGTAGCTTTTGTAGTCGCCATTGTAGTTGCGAAGTTGAAAGATCCAAAGGCAGGATAGGGTAGCTAACTAAGTAGAGCTTATTAAGTGGAAAGTCTGTTTGCTACTTTGGCTTGCTTCGAAATTCCGAAAGCCCGTCGTGCTAAGTCACGGTAGCTTTTATATTCGCCATCGTAGTTGCGAAGTTGAAAGATCCAAAAGCAGGATAGGGTAGCTAATTAAGTGGAAAGTCTGTTTGCTACTTTAGCTTGCTTCGAAATTCCGAAAACCCGCTAAGTCATGCTAAGTCACGGTAGCTTTTATAGAGCGAAGAGTCTAACTGGACATCCTGTTTGCAGCTTGCACGAGAACAGCGAGGACGACATCGACTCTCTGGACTCCATAGACGACCATCCCCAGCGAACAACATCAGCCAGACCTACGACTACGTCAACGACCACCACTACCTCGAAACCCAACAAGCCATCCACGACCCCAGCTTCCAGCACTTTCTCGCACCCAACAGGCTATCCCCAGCACTTCCAGCCCCAGCCACCGTTCCCCCAGGTGCACACCAGTCAGTCCAAGTCCTTGTACGACGACAAGAATGGTGGCTACCATCATCAGTACATCTTCCACAACGGGGAGAGGAGCAACAACCAGCCAGCCACTTCGTATCAGCTGTTTAGCAACCAGGGTGTCAGTTCTACGACGGTGCAGCCTCCCCAGGTGCACCAGATCAGGTTCAGCTCGACGTCGAGTCCGCAGATCATCCACAATGACCCTTCGACAGTGTCCCCCTTGTTCCACGCGACCTCCTCTACCATTCAGACGCTCTTGAGCAACAGTGGCAACAGTCCCGCCTTGATCAATCCCATATTCCACAATCATGGAATAGCCAGCACCACGGAGCAGTTTACCCTGCATAACAACAACCCCAGGGAGACATCCGAGTACCGTGAGAGCGGGGATCAGAGCATCAGGCCTCTGGAAGCTGTCCAGCCGACCATCAAAGGAAAGGTAGCTATCAGAGTCATTGGTGGTTGTGCTTTGGCTGACTTCAGTCTGTTTCTAGGTCTCGAAGCTGACGATCTCCCCGACGCCGTCGGAGCAGCGATCGGTACAGACCAGCCAGAGTTCTCAGCATCAGAGGATCTCTGGCAACTTCTTGCCTACTCCAGCCACTGACGAGACCACCATCAGATCGTTCTACCCTACGCTGAGGAGCGTGTCGAAACCTACGCAGCCGTCTAGGTCGAACATCGAACAGGTCACCCAGCACATCCACGTGCTGCCACCTCTGCCGATCCCCCAGCTGAAGCCCCATCAGATCACCATCAACCTGCCGCCACCGGACATCCAGCGAATCGTGCAGAACCCATCGCCTTTGCTACCTTCTCAGTCCAGAGTGATAGTCACCGCTAAAGCCAGCGTCAGCGACGAGTCCGGCAGACCTCTGAACACCACGCAGTTGGTAACCCTGCCTCTGCCGACCATCCCAGCCAGCTACGATGACTACAAGGAAGGGGACGAGTCGTTCGATCCTTTCTACAGGGACGTGCCAAAGATTCGCAATGCCAGACGCGTCGCGATCAGCAGAACGTCCTTGAGGATCAAGAGGTCGGCTGGCGAGACCAAGAGTTCCATGATGTCCTTCGTCAGGGGCGTTGACCGACCCAAACGACAGGAGGCCCGAACGGATGACGTCAAGGACAAGAGCAAGAACCAGGATGAAATTCTTCTGGATAATGATGATACGAACTTCACAGCCTTCAAGAGGATCCTGACGAAGTTCAGGGACATCCTGTTCGGCGAACCGTTCACCGAAGACATGATCCAAGATGCTTTGGAAGCAAGTAGCCTACAGGTAGCCGAGACTGGGGAGATGGGAGACAACGAGTCTCTGGAGGATCTCGAGGTGAAGGCCTCGAAGAATTTCAAGACTAAGGATTATGACGACAGCGAGTACGATAGCAGGGACAGCAAGGCTGACGATGCCGAGTACTCCGAGAGTGAGCCTCCTTTGAAACAGCACAGCAAGGAGTCCGACGCTGAAGAGTACGACGATGTTAAGGATAATAAAGAAGTATCTGACTCCGAGGAGTCCAAAGAGGAAGATGCCAAGGATGAGGAAAAACATGACTCGTTGAAGAAGACCGATGCGAATGGCGTGAAGCATGTGGAAGGGAAAAGGGTGATCGACGTCGTCATATTGAATCCGAACGAATACCCGAAGGCGAAATCCTCGACTCCGAAGGACCTTGAAGAGGAGCCTACGACAACCGAGGTTCCAGTCACCTCAACAACGGAGGATACCACCATTTGGCCTGAAACAACAACTAAAAAGATGGATTCTAAAGACACGGTGGAGCTTGATGATGAGGTCAAGTGGCCAAAGGATGACTCCGACGAAGAGGCCGAAGAACACAGCACGACCAAACCGTCGAAGAAGGTCGAAGAGAAGAAGGAAGAGGACGAAGACAAGAAGAAAGAGGTCGAAGAGAAGAAAAAGGAGGTCGAAGACAAGAAGAAGGAGGATGAAGACAAGAAAAAGGAGATCGAAGACAAGAAGAAAGAGGACTCGAATAACGAAAGCAAGGCTCACAAGTCGAAAGATCGAGCTGAGCCGAAGCCAAATGCTAAGAGGAAGAGTGCCAGGATAAGGTCCTTCTCAGGGAAAATATCTTCGAGAAAGAAGGACCCGAAGAGCGAGGAGGTTGAGACGAAAGTAGAGACGACGACTATGCCAGCTGAGGAGATCACTACCGACGAAGATGTGGTCTCCACGACTCCGATGGTGGATGTCGATCAAATTGACAAACGCATCTTCGATGAGTCGGAGTCTGAATCTTCCAAGGGATTGGACACCAGAGCTGTGGGACATCGAGGTTATGGAAAGGGTCATCACGGTGGCAAGGACGAAGGCATAGCGAAGCATGACAAGAAAGGCGATGCGAATGAGTATGGATCTTTGAAGAAACACGTGGAAAGTTCGGTAAAGGATGAAGAGAAGGATGAAGAGAAGGAAGAAGAGGAAGACGAAGACAAAGGAGAAGAGAAGACTACAGTTTCTTCTTTAGACGACGAAGCCAAGAAGCCAGCTGAACCAGAATCTGTCGAGATGAACGAGAACGTTTCCATGGAGGAGGAGGAGGAGGAGGAGGAGCACGAATACAAAGAAGAGTCCTCTATCGAGGAGGACGACTCTGAGAAGGTCGCGGACCATGAAAAGAGCCACGTAGCCAAGAAAGGATCCAAACGAGGGAAGAGCATGAAATTCGACACGTCCAAAGAGGTGATCACTCACAGACAGGACAAGAGCTGGAAATTCTCCGACGAAGACGACGAGCTGGAATCGCAGGAGCACTCGACAATGAAGAACGAGGAGACCACTCCCCACGAGATGTCCTCGGAGTACAACGATTCCACGGAATCGTTCTACGAGAGCAGTCACGAGGTCGGCACGGAGAATGAGTACAAGGACACAACCGATTCCACGGAAGTTGACAACTCCGAGGATTATTACACTTCGACGGAGGATACTGTCGACGACGAAGAGGAGACAGCGCATGATCACGAAGCCAGCACGGAAGGCGTGCTGAAGTACACCGACGAGCTGCCCAAGGAGAAGAAGGAGGAGCTGGCAGACAGCAAGAAGCCTACGGAGTCTGTGGAGAACACTGCTCACGACTACGTCGACGACAACTACGAGCCTGATAATTACAAGGAGGCTGTCAGTGCCAAGGAGGAGAAGAAGAAGAAGAAGGAGAAGAAGAAGAAATTGAAGGACGACGTAAAGAACGAAGAGAACTACGAAGACGAAGCTGAAGTTACCACCAGCACGCCGGACCCGGTCGCGGAGAAAGAGGACGCGAAGAAGTCGAAAGAAGAGCCTTCGACGACGACAACGACTACAACGACAGTTAGAACGCCTCCGAAGCTGTTCAAGCCGGCCTCCATCAGGAAGAGCTACACCTACGTCCCTCCCACGACGACCCCCAATCCCGTCGTCATAAAACCAAGGTTCAGCCTCTTGAATCCTAAACCGGCCAAGCCTCCTAAGTCCTACAACGAGCTAGCTCCCAAGCCTGTCATCAGGAAGTTCCCATTGCTGACCCGGAAGACTACCACAACAGTCCCGACCACAACCTTCGTCGAAGAGGACTGGCCAGAGTCCACGGAAGTGCCAGTGCCGATGACGGAGGCGTCGGTGCCGCTGACAGAAGCCCCTGTCACTACGACAGAGGCTAGAAGCGAGGAGAACGTGCTGGAGGTGAAGTTGGACCAGGACAAGGCTCCTGGAGAATCGATGCAGAAGGACCAGGCTCCGGCGAAGACCGAAGGGGACCAGGACTCCAGCCCTTCGGAGCAGAAGTCGCCGGCGAATACCGAGAAGGAGAAGGGTCCCAGCAGCCACACCGAGAGCTTCACACCTTACCCAGTGGTCAAACTGTCGACCATGGCTACTACCATTCAGGATACCTTGAAGGAGATCGAGTCTTCCACCGAGAAGCCTACGCCGAAGACTTACACACTGATAGACCTTCAGATCATCAGCACGACGGCTCCCCCGGTGGCTAACATTCCCAGTGAGCCTGAGAAGGAGGAGGCAACCACTGTCAAAGTCGCGGAGCCGGAGGTCTCGACAGAGTCGTCCACGAAGGCTCACCATGAGGACTCCTTCGAGCTGACCATGAAGAGCCACCAGGAACCGATGGAGTCGACGGTCAAGGCTCACCAGGACTCGACAGAGACGTCCTCGGTCCCCGAGTCTTCGACCCAGAGTACGACTACGACCACGAGCACGACCACGAGCACGACCACCGAGGCTGTCGTCGGATGGTTCAAAGACCCTGAAGAGGTGTCGACGACCTCGAGATACGCGTACCGCAAGCCAATGCCCCCGAAGAGGCCGGATAGCTTCAACTGTCTGGAGAAGGAGATGTACCGCTTCTACGGCGACACCAGGGACTGCAGACTGTTCCATTATTGCTCCCCTGGCTTCACCTCGAGGCAGGTCCTCGACTTCCGGTTCGTCTGCGAGGAGGGCACCGCCTTCGACGAGCTGACCCAGAGCTGCGTGTACGACTTCCGCGTGGAGATGTGCCCGAACAGGAAGTGGTAATCGCCGGAGCCTCGCCTGGCTCCTCGTGGCGACGTTGATTTTGGTAACTGGTGAATCCGCGGACTCCCTAGTGTATATTTATATGTAGGCAGGCCCCGAACAAGGGCCCCCTCCTATCCTGAGTATTGCCATAACCTTGTACATGATCATGGATTCACACTTATTAAGATTAATGGCCGGACCTCTTGATCACGGACCACGGAGAGCTGGGGTAGCGCGGGACTCGCTGTCTCTCGGCGAGCTCCCGGCGGCCATTTTGTGCAGCCGGAGCTGATCGGAGTGGTCCCGTTCTCTATTTTGTTTGTTTGTTTTTGCTGAACGGCGTAGAGAATTTGTAAAATAATCGTTCTCGTCTGGAGCTCGTGATGGTTGTAGGGCTGGCCGGGCGCCCCTCGGTTGTCGAGCGGCTGACTTCTTCGGGAGAACAAAATGGCCGGCAAGCTCCCGAGACTCGCGGCGAACTTTAGGATAAAGAGAGAGAATCATGGTAGATCGCATAGAGATCCTGGATTGCTCAACGTGCGCGTCCTTCCGACGCGATTGCGCAAATTGTACATTTAGGTTTACGTCGATGTAGAGTCCCGCGCGAGCGTACAGCGAAGGGTGACGGTGAGAGGCGGAGGAGGAGATGGGTGGCAGGTTTCGGAACGGACTCGCTAAATACTCAACCCGTGTCACAGGCGGCGGGGATCGTCGTTCTAGCCGTCGATCGAATCCTCGCGATCCCCTGGCGGCCGCTCTAATCATTCCTACCTTCTAGATCATTATAGATCCTTAATCTGTTCGGCGGAGAATTCGCGCGACCCTTAGGTCGACGAACCTGTAAACACGTGTCTGTGTGTATGTGTGTGCGTGCGTGTCGTGAGCGTTGCTCGTCGTTCGCCTTCGATGGCGAGAAATAAGCCTGGGTCGGTCGTGACCCACGCCGTCTAACATCATCCCCGTGGCTCTCGGAACGAGTTCACGTTAACGACGGTCTCGAGCCGCGAGCCCGGGAAGAGATTCTTTACGTTCGGGTCGGATGTGACCCAGCCGCCGCCGGACCAGGGCTTGGAGACAGATCCCGCCACAACGGGGCCCGCCGTGATCTTCGCGCGACGCTGCAGCAACGACTCGGAATCCGCGTCGTAGAAAGTTGTGTTCTCGGCCCCGACGAGTATAGTTGAATTTTCGTAGTTTATAATTAACCCCGGCGTAATTTGATGCAGCGAATTCGTTGACGAACGCGAGACGACGACGATCGTTGCAGGCTTCGCGCGGAACATTCTATTTAATTTTAGTCATCGTTGTCACGGGGTCTCGGTCTCCGGACGAAGGATCAAATGTACTCACAACCACTGTTCGATAATACATATTTTTACATGTGAATTTATCCCGCTGCATTTAGTGATTAAATTACACGTAGATAATGTGATAAGTGATAGAGAGATATTATCGGTCGCTTGCGTGTACCTCGGTCGTCCCTGTAAATATCTGTGTACATCCCCGACATTCGCACGCATGTTCCGCGCGTCTCGCCAGAGACCGTGTATTGTAAGGGTCTGTACTGTGTTAAATAATAATTGTATACCACGTGCAAGCATCCGTTTTCATTACCGAGGGAAAAAGAGAACGTCCTTCATTCCCGAAACGCTTCCACGAATCCGGTGAACGTTATCGCGACGAATAAATGTCCGCTGAAAAAATCGGTTGGGGGGGGGGGGCGTTAAGTTGCTTGGGAAACGCGAACAGTGGCGACATCTAGCGGCGAGAACTATGCGCAACCAGGGCCCCACGCAGCATCTCGGGCAATATAATCTTCTGATTATGGTAATGGACTACTTGGCGGAGGTGAAACCTCCGTCGGAAGCCTTTACGGCCGTAATGGAGCATTTTACATAATTAGGAGGTTCGAATAATGGAGAGTTCGCAATGAAATGCTGCCCACGCGCGTATGCGACTATTAAGGCTTTATTATCGAACAATAGTTAAATACATACACACATATACTGGCACCCTTGTGATGGTTAACATTTAAAGAATTAAACGATTATCGAAGAAGCAAAGATATTGCTTTTAGGTGTGAAATAAAATTACGCGGTTTCCCGTTGATGTAATTAATTAATTAATTTCTTAATTATTTTCTTCAGCTAAATCAGTCGGAGAAAGTGAACTAGTTCCCGTTCGAAAAGAAAAATAATTGTTACTTATTGTAGAATAAATCTAACAAAATTGCTCAGACTTTTGCAACATCTTTAGCGGCCTGCGCGTGCGCTGCGAAATGCGCGGCCTTCGCATCCGCGACTTCCGGTGTGTCGATCACTCTGCCGTCGGGACCAAGAGGAGCACCGTAGCCGTATCTGTAGGCATACGGTATGTTCGAATATGCTAGTGCTCCGTACGGGTACATTCCGATCTTCTTGGCAGCCTCCTGCAATTAAAAAACAGCACAAATTAATTTTAGTTCTTTAAAATTTTTTAATTCTTAATTTTTTAATTTTTTAATTTTTATTTCAATAATTAATTTAACACTTAAATGTGACGCTCAAGAAATGCCTGACCGACCGAGTATCAGAGTTGTGCTAAGTCAATTACATTGTAATTCAATTTCGCAATTTCATTATATTCTATTTTAATTACACAGTAATCTGACCACGATGCAATTCAATTACATAATCGATAATTTTAATTCGATTAAATTCAATTAAATTCAATTCCATTACATCGTAATTCGTAATTTCAATACAGTTACGTCGTAATTCGTAATTTCAATTAAATCACATCGTAATTCGTGTTCTGAATTAAATCACATCGTAATTCGTGATTTCAATTAAATCACATCGTAACTTTCAATCTCATCGAATTTCAATTAGATTATATCGCAATTCGATTCGATTGTAATTCGTAATTAATGCAATTCAATTACCCAGTACATTGCAATTGTACTCCAATCGCAATAACGAATTACATTGCGATTTCATTGAACGAAAATCTCACTTCCGTGTTACAACGCGATCGAATAACGATGTAATAATCGCAATTAAATTACCGCGTACAGTAAATTCTCCCTAATTGACGCTCGGATTGCACACAAAAATGGACAATCCGAGCGTCAATTGGAGATAATTCACCGTAATCATAATTCCTCGAGTAATTCAATGGTAATTCTGCAGAACTCCGGCAAAGTATGCAGACAAATAGCCGAGTCCGGCCGGTTAGCTTGTCTAGGGTTAAGCAAGTGCAGACAACGGTTCATTAGCCGATGTTTGAATGGTTTCGCATTTTTCCGGGCAATTACCAGTGCGTGAGCAGCAAGATGAGCAGCCTTCGCTTCTGCGACCTCGGGTGTATCGACGACCCGGCCGTCGACGCCGATGGGAGCGCCGTAAGTAATTGCAGGTGTGTAAACGCGGGTCAAGACAGGCACGTGTGCATATCCCAGCGTGTTCCTGGCAGCCTCGTACGCCTGTGTGGCTAGGTGGGCTGCTTTCGTCTGCGCCACCTCTGGCGTGTCCAAAACTCTGCCGTCGTACGCCAAGGGGATGCCCAGGTAGCCGTAGGACACCAGCGGCGCCAGGTAACCTGGCTCCGCGACTGCCAAACTGCAGAATACTGCTAGAACAATCTGCCAATCAAGAATAATTCTTTACTTTATGCTATTTCAAATCGGAGAACGATTATTCGAGGGTTCAGGTCTTCGTACACGAAGGAAAATCTCCATTAAAATTGGCCAACTTTGACCGTTGATAATCTTGCGAAAAATCATTGCAGAGTGATGACTTTTCCTTCAAATTAAAGCTTGAAACTTCTACTTTAAGACACTGTTTCTCGATTTTAACTTAGATAAGATGTCATCATTGTGACCATTTAAATGCGAAGCTATGTTTGTCATATTGAAAATCACCGAGTTTGACGCAAGGGTCACTTCGAAGTGTTGTAACTTTGTGGGAAAAAATCGCAGCGGCGCTTCTGTTTTTTTAAGTTGAAGGGGAGAGATCAAACTTCATTTGGCCATAAATGGCACCTCTGAAAAAAATTTTACGAAGACCGTGCATTTCGTCAAATTTGACAGTTTTCGGTATGCCAAACATGGCCTCGCATTTAAGGAGTTGCAGTGGCGAGAATGCGTCAAACTTAAAATCTAGGAACACTATCTTAAAGTTGAGATTTCAAGCTTCGATTTAAAAAAAATTCCATTATCCCACGATGATATTTCGCAGAGTTATCGTCGGTCAAAGTTGGCCAATATTTACGCAAAATTTGTCTGTGCTGTAATTTCGTCGAGGATTAAAAACTAAGTTCAGACCATAAAAAAAGATCCTAAAGCAAGACTAAGTCCAAAATAGGTCCCCGCCACTTTCGATCACGACCTAACCCAGGTCATGGTTACGTAAACTCCTTTTGAAGAAACCTATTTATCGTTGTCGATGCCAACGAATTGAGATGCCGGAATCGAATACTCACAATCGACTTCATGGTCTTCGGTGCGGTCGGTGCGCTGCTGGGTGGTGAACCAGGACTCGCCCTAAGGGGTACCAACTGTTATGCCGTACCCTTACCGTGCACGCATCTCCTTTTATATATGTGAAACTGGTAGGGAGTCGACGACCCGTAGGAGGGGACCACACCCTGAAGCCGGTGCACCTGAGGTGCTGACATTGACATTACGTACGCGGGGCCCGGACGCTTCTCCTCGCGGGACCTGTCACTCATAGGGTCCCACAGTCCGAGGTCAGGTGCACGGCCGCCGATCCTCTCACCTACGGACGAAAAACTGGACGACGGAATGATCCCCCGGATGAGCAAAAACCGCGTGTCCATCTCCTTGAGACGCCGGATGGTAGCTCTAATTTGAGGAAGGTCGCTGGCTCGGACAGTTCGTCTACCTTGCACAACCGTGGGTAAAATACTGTTTAAAACTATGCGCACCTGTCATGCAGCTCAGAATTACCGGTCTCGCATGTTTTATTTTCAGATCGTTCGAATTACGGAGACACTGCTTCGAGAACCGATCAAATGAATTCCTTTATACGGCTTCACGTTGTACCGTGTGTTCTCCTTAATTGCGGATCGGATTGTACACAGAAATGGACAATCCGGGAAGAGGAGATGCGATTTATTCGAACCTTGCGACTCGTTTTTATAACTGTCGTTTGTCAGCAGCTATAAAAACCAGTCGCAAGGTTATCTCCACTTCCCAAATTGTCCATTTTTGCGCAGAATTTGAGCGTCAATTAGGGAGAATTTACTGTAATCAGGCTGTAATTAGGCTCTAATTACGCTTTATGCGAGATAAAAACGGTGGATATTTTTTTCTTTCTTGAATCATTTCAGCGAGTTAACAATAATACAGAAATGTCCTTAAACTCTTTAATTCCGCGCAACCATTTTTATTGTAAACGCGCAAAATCCGCGGTCTAATTGTAATAAAAATTGCGAGAAATCTAAACAATAAGTCTAGGAATTCTAGCAAGACTATTCTCTCTTAATCTTTTTGCTGTTTCAAATTGCATCTACCCAATCTTTCTGCGAGTGCATCCAGTTATATGCACAGCTATGCGTATGCTATAACATGCAGGATATAAACTCCAGGATACACGCGAACGTGGCTGATGCCATGCGCGTGTAACACCGTGTTACAGTAAAGATAGTATAATGATTATAGATACGTGCAGTTTACATAATGACAAGGCTGTCTTACCATCTCGGCGGTCCTGGTTGGCGACTGCGACGTCGTTCGGCCGCGGTTTTGGAAGCCTAACCGTGGGAGTGAACGTCGCCACGGTATTTTATCCGGTCCATAGAAATTGAAATCTGCGCGATGGCGCAGACTTGACGGCGTTTTCAAGAAAAATCTGCTGAAAGCACTGCTGCTCGTCGCGAGAGAAAAGCGCGCGGCTACGCGTCGGCATACTGAATCATTCATGCCGCATTGTTTATCACAATTTTCCAATGAATCGACGCCTCCGGTGAGCGGCATTATTGCCACGGCGCCTGTTAATTGCGCGTTCAGGCGACCCGTTTGTTCATACTGATGCAAGAAAAAGAGAACTATGCGTTATGCGGGGCGACGGCGCGCAGAGCGCAGCTCCAAGATTAGGTTTCGAGGTTCGTCGATTGGGCCGGAAAAGCTGGCCGAATCGGGCGAACGTTATTATTTTATTAATCGCGCGACGCGACGATACGATCGGCGAATAATGTTGTTAACTATTCCGGAGCAAAGCGGCCTCGATGGATTTCTCGGAAGAAAGGGACGCGGATGAATTGCCGTGGACGAATAGCAATTACAGCGAATGAGTCCTACCGGGGGGGAAAAAGATCCGGACGAAGGTTGTCGCGTCTCCTTGGAATGATCGATCCTCGATAATTGACTGTGGAGAATCGTTTGTTCCGCGGATCGGCTCGCACGGGAACGAAACCGGCCGGCCCGACAGGGCCCGAGACATCGTTAAACCGATGCACCGCTGCGATAATGCGCTGAGCAACGCCGGACCTCGGACCCCGACACTTCCTGCGTGATAAAATCATTAATTTGTTTGTTGAAGGCGAAATTGATCATGGGATTAGCCGTTTACAGCTAAAGCCGTGCGTGCCAAGCTTTTTTGCTAGGCTGATTTAACGCCGCCGTTTGCGAGGTTCGCGTTAGGTTCGCGGAACCCGTCGAAATGGCGGGTCATTAGTTCTTGAATTTACGATCGTTTACATTGTGAAGTTATATTCGTGAGTCGTTTATTCGATATATGCGTTACTTGCGGAAAATAGTACAATAATATGCGTTAAAAAGTCTTATTGCTACTTTTTTTTCGAATAAATGTAAGAATTAATGATTTATTGTTACTTTGATTCAATAAAAGTAAGAATAAATGTCTTGTTGTTACTTTTGTAGAATAAATGTCAGAATAAATGTCTTATTGTTACCTTTATAGAATAAATATAAGAATCGATGACTTATTGTTACTTTTATTCAATAAAAGTAACAATAAATGTCTTATTATCACTTTTGTAGAATAAATATAAGAATAAATGTTTTATTGTTACTTTTATGGAACAAATGTAAGAATAAATGTCTTATTATTATTTTCATGCAATAAAAATAAAAATAAATGTCTTCTCCTTACTTTTATAAACTAATATAAAACAGCTGCTTTTAATGCTCCCTAAATCTCACGTTAATCTTCACTTTGTTTCCGTAGAAGTTATACAAGAATATCTCGATTATTTTCCCCGTCCAAATAAAAACGAGTAAGAACCAGTGGCTATTATCAACGAATTAACTTTTTCCACTTACACCGTGTCTGCTCCCAACGGCTCATTTTATGCGACATTTCTAGTTAGATAACGGCCGAGAAAAAGGCTCCTTTCCTAGCTTTTTTCATTGTCACACAACCGAAAGTGTGTAGATTTCAGACGGACGAATTCCTCGATGGAAAAAGCGCGATTGCGTCGAAGGCGTGAAATTCATTGGCAAATAATCTCCCATGAATTACGAAACCTCCCCCCGCACAAGAATAATCGTCACGCATGTATGCCTCTGGCCACACATGCATACTCTAGTTCTTGCCGCAACGATTTTTTAGGTTTTCAAGCGAAAGAATCGCGAGTTACAAAACCTGCTTTATTTAATCCTGCGATTCGGACAATTTCGTGTCGAACAATGTGAAAAATATAGAAACTTCTGTCCGCATCTGAATCGCTGCAGCGATGACCATATATGGTCAAGAACGTCACTTACGGCTAGACAATCGAGAAAAGGCGAGGTTCGAAAATTTTTTAAACAACAGCGATAGGATATATTAATCCAAAACTTCGTGGATATATTCGTTCAGCATCGAAGAGTGCCGACAAAAAAATTGCACTCGAAAATAATAATTTTAGCCGAAGTTATAAAAATGCAACTAAAATGCACTGCAATTTCTGCGATTGTCACAACAAGCAAGTAATTGCAGTTATCCGAGGTAAAATAGAATGAAAAGGACAGCGATCTACAGGAACGTAGCTATTAATTTAACACAGATTTAACGATGAATCATTACAAAAATGGAGCACATGAAAGGTAGAGAGAAAATACGGAAAGTAATTCGCACTAAAAAAAATAACGATGTCCTTCGAAGTGATAAAAATTCAACCAAGGTGCGATTGAAATGCGATAAAATGAAATTTAAAAAAGTGCGTGTAAAACGTGTAAGAGAACGCAGGAAAACTGATTCGATCGGAGTCTGCGGAAGCGGGGAGCACCGGCGCGTATAAACATCTGTGCAATCGCGGCGCGAGGCACGCCAGGTGTCCCAGGAATGGCCAGAAAATCGTGTCGCGTGTCCCGCGTCGCCTCCGCCACGTGGGCGGCTTAATAATGCTCAGATCGGCCGATACCGCGGCGAACAAAAGCCCTTTCCACGGAATTCCAAGTAATCTCGGCACGCCCGGCGGAGCATTGTCTTAAACGCGGCTTATCTTTCCGGCGCGCTGCTAAGGACCCGCGCTAAACGATCATCGTGCCGCGGTATTAATTGGTCGCTGCTGCGCTCCTTTGTTGCGTGGGCGACGGCGGCGGCGCCGCGCCGTTCCTGGCCCACCGTCGACGGCAAGGAAGCGTTAACAATGAAAGGTCGTTAGGACGATTTTTTTCTCTTTTTTTTTTAATTTCGAGACCGCTTGTCCGGCTCGGTGAAAGCCGGCGCGCCGGTCGCGAGCAGAAAAATTCCGAACCGAACGCGACACTCGAAATATTTATTTGGTAACCATCGCCGAACCGATCGCTGCGATTAAATGCGCTTCTGGGGCACATTCACCATTGCACAAACGATGCAATTCATTTCGCTTAAGCACCGTTTGTTTCGGATCGGCGTGGACAAGTCATTGTGTCAAGTTTCCTTGGATCCGAACAATGGCTGCGAACTAAATCACATCGGCGATTGTCAGACCGCGGATTTTATTTATGGGAAAATATGGTTCGCGGTGTTGAAAAATTTGAAGGAGTTCGATGACGTCTGGTTATATTATTTTCAAGATATTCGGACGATCGAGCAGAAAATGAACTTGCTGTTTAGTTTTATTTTAATTTTATTTTAATTTTATTTTAATTTTATTTTAATTTTATTTTATTTTACATAAAAGTANCGCGATTGCGTCGAAGGCGTGAAATTCATTGGCAAATAATCTCCCATGAATTACGAAACCTCCCCCCGCACAAGAATAATCGTCACGCATGTATGCCTCTGGCCACACATGCATACTCTAGTTCTTGCCGCAACGATTTTTTAGGTTTTCAAGCGAAAGAATCGCGAGTTACAAAACCTGCTTTATTTAATCCTGCGATTCGGACAATTTCGTGTCGAACAATGTGAAAAATATAGAAACTTCTGTCCGCATCTGAATCGCTGCAGCGATGACCATATATGGTCAAGAACGTCACTTACGGCTAGACAATCGAGAAAAGGCGAGGTTCGAAAATTTTTTAAACAACAGCGATAGGATATATTAATCCAAAACTTCGTGGATATATTCGTTCAGCATCGAAGAGTGCCGACAAAAAAATTGCACTCGAAAATAATAATTTTAGCCGAAGTTATAAAAATGCAACTAAAATGCACTGCAATTTCTGCGATTGTCACAACAAGCAAGTAATTGCAGTTATCCGAGGTAAAATAGAATGAAAAGGACAGCGATCTACAGGAACGTAGCTATTAATTTAACACAGATTTAACGATGAATCATTACAAAAATGGAGCACATGAAAGGTAGAGAGAAAATACGGAAAGTAATTCGCACTAAAAAAAATAACGATGTCCTTCGAAGTGATAAAAATTCAACCAAGGTGCGATTGAAATGCGATAAAATGAAATTTAAAAAAGTGCGTGTAAAACGTGTAAGAGAACGCAGGAAAACTGATTCGATCGGAGTCTGCGGAAGCGGGGAGCACCGGCGCGTATAAACATCTGTGCAATCGCGGCGCGAGGCACGCCAGGTGTCCCAGGAATGGCCAGAAAATCGTGTCGCGTGTCCCGCGTCGCCTCCGCCACGTGGGCGGCTTAATAATGCTCAGATCGGCCGATACCGCGGCGAACAAAAGCCCTTTCCACGGAATTCCAAGTAATCTCGGCACGCCCGGCGGAGCATTGTCTTAAACGCGGCTTATCTTTCCGGCGCGCTGCTAAGGACCCGCGCTAAACGATCATCGTGCCGCGGTATTAATTGGTCGCTGCTGCGCTCCTTTGTTGCGTGGGCGACGGCGGCGGCGCCGCGCCGTTCCTGGCCCACCGTCGACGGCAAGGAAGCGTTAACAATGAAAGGTCGTTAGGACGATTTTTTTCTCTTTTTTTTTTAATTTCGAGACCGCTTGTCCGGCTCGGTGAAAGCCGGCGCGCCGGTCGCGAGCAGAAAAATTCCGAACCGAACGCGACACTCGAAATATTTATTTGGTAACCATCGCCGAACCGATCGCTGCGATTAAATGCGCTTCTGGGGCACATTCACCATTGCACAAACGATGCAATTCATTTCGCTTAAGCACCGTTTGTTTCGGATCGGCGTGGACAAGTCATTGTGTCAAGTTTCCTTGGATCCGAACAATGGCTGCGAACTAAATCACATCGGCGATTGTCAGACCGCGGATTTTATTTATGGGAAAATATGGTTCGCGGTGTTGAAAAATTTGAAGGAGTTCGATGACGTCTGGTTATATTATTTTCAAGATATTCGGACGATCGAGCAGAAAATGAACTTGCTGTTTAGTTTTATTTTAATTTTATTTTAATTTTATTTTAATTTTATTTTAATTTTATTTTATTTTACATAAAAGTACGCGGTCTGGTGATTATTCATTTAATAGCTTGACAAAAATTTAAATATCTTGATCTCTTGCTTTATCTTCTTTTGTATCTTTCATTTTATTGTATCATTTGCTTTCTTTTCTCTTCATTTGATCAAATAAATTTTTTTTATTAATATTATTATTGTAACTAACACACTCGGACCTTTTTCACAGAAACCTAACTGAGCATTCTTAGAATTATTTACAATTTATCAATTCTTTCCAACAAATTTTTTAACATCCTACATCACTTCTTTTCTGCAAGCTTTAACAAAACACGAACATTTAAATTGCCAAAAATTAATTACAGAAATTAAATTATCAATATGTACAATTTCGGTACAAATGGATCCGAGCATACAAAAAAGATGCCATACACTAAAAAAACACACACACATACACAATTGCTACTGATAAAACGCGTTTGTTACGATGACATAACTCAAGAAAAATTGTCTCGTCGTCATTGTCACGAAATGAGTTTTTTGGTCGTCGCAGGATCAGAGGACTTCCTCTTTCCGTGGCGCAGGATCATTCTCGAACGTCGCGGGACGATTAGGCGTGTCACTAACCCGGTACAGATTGTCTCGCACTCGGCCAGGGACGGTTGTCGACAGAGGGAATGCCTATTGTGTGTATCGGGCATCGACATTCACGCGATTATTTACGGTGTTATTCGCCAGTAGCGGATGTCATAAGAGACGGACGTGATCCCCTTTGACTGACATTTAAGGGACACCCGAGGCTGCGATTTTTCACGCTACCGATCCCGGGAATGCAAGGTGCAACCATTGATCTCACAGCTCGTTGCCACCGCGCTTAACACACGGACATCCGGATTTTCGAACGGCGCAGAAACTCGACCCGGACAATTCGGTCCAACATCCGACTGCGAATCGTTCGCGCGAAATAAAAATTCCACGCCTCTATTGCAAGATACAAACTTATTGTTTCGTACCTTCTTCGAATTTTATATTCGTTTTATCTTTATTTTTGTCTTGAACGCGCAAAATGTACGAAATTCCTCCATAAACGCGAGCAAAGCGTTTTGCCTCTAGACTCTTCTGTTTTTTTTTTTTAGCGAATGTCCAGCATAACTTTTTTCGCTTTATTACATTCGCCACGGTTACGTCCGCCACATGCTTGTCACCGAAAAAGTGTCGCTAGAAATCCGTGGTCACGGTTCCCCGAATTCTGTCGTTTCCCGCCATTCGTGCGTGAAATGCTCGATTAGCATAGTCTGCGGGTTACAATTACCCAATAGATCGCCGCAGAGACTCGCCACTGTTTGCAACAGCTGTATAATCCTTTGTTTTGTGAGGAATGTTTGCGATTCGAAAAATACGTAAACGGTGTTAAAGAACAGAATAATTTCATTCCAGAGATGCACGATGGAGATCCGTTTCACGTGGCCAGAACGCTTTTAGTGTTATCTCAAAGCGTATTATCAGCCGAATGTGAACCGAAAAAAATATATAAAAAATCGCAAAATTCGAGTCACCTCCGAATTTGCATAAAAAGAATTTTTATTCACGATTTTTACAACTGGAATGTATAATTTGTTTCATTTGGAATCTTCGGATCTTGAAACGGAATTTAAAGTGCCTAGTGTTTCGGATTTTGAAACGTGGAAGGGTTATCGAACGACGTGTAGATTTCTTTCCCGAAACGTGGAACAATTTTTCAAAGAATTTTGGTCAGGATGAACGTGTTTCTAGCCGACGAGCCGACGGAGGTTATGTTTTCTGGTATTCATATAAGTATGTTTATCGAACCGGCGAGGCGATCGCTGGCTCTCGAATTACACCGTGGAATTATTACACCGTAATGAACTTGTCCCAATTAGGCGTTCGGTGCTCGTTAGAGATGATTGTTTGGACGTTGGGTGTCATTGTTCGCGGTGTTTCGCAAAATGTAATTGCTCCGGGGCTTATTAAGAACTCGGGCGTAGCGATACGTGACGGAATCTCGGTGAATTTGCATCGGGGATAGCGTTCGAGGATCTTTCAGCGTATTGCCATATGCGAAGCGTGTGAAATGACAGCGGAAAGTATTTTTTTTATTTTCGCTGAATTTCGCTGAATTCCTACTGCACTTATCGTCCCCAATTTTATCGTTCCCTGAATCGATACTTTTTGAAATTAACCCTTCGCGTCAAATATTTAATTATCGTATTTTTTCGACTGACTTCATTTTTTGCCACAATGTTGCAAAAAAGATATCTTTCGTTCCAACTATTATTTCACTCATCAGGGAAAATTCAATCTCCTTAAATGTGATGTTTTATTAAACATTGATATTGTCGTTTCGGTTATAATTAAATTATGTTTATATATAATAATAATATATTAATATACATTAATTATATAATAATAATACATATAATTATTATTACAATTAAATACCATAAATAAATTGTTATTGCGTCGTTTTATGAATATATAAAAATAAATAAAAGCAAATAAAAGTAAATAAATCTATAAAAGATAACTAAAAGTATACAAACAAAAATAAAACGACATAAAAATAAATAAACGTATATAAAAATAACAAAAGGTATACAAAAATAAATAAAAATACGCAAAAGCAGATAAAAGTGTACAAAAATAAATAAAAATATTTAAAAACGTATTCCGCGATTTCCGGTGGAAAAGAGAAATAAAATAATGACTACGGTTACTTAATAAAATCTAGGAGCCATCTTCTTGCACAGCAGGTGTTCCCAGGCCGTCAGCAAAAATTCCTTAGATTGGCCAAGACGAAATCGAACCGCCGCGAGCCCGTTGCCAAATATCGAGATCTTTTTGCCGGGTAAATAGCATGATCAGAACGGCCGTGTTTCCATCATTGACGCAACGGAACGCGGCCATTTCGCCTCCTGGCCGTCCCATTTCTTTCGCCGTCGCTGTTCCCCGTCCCGCTGCTATCATTTTCCCTATCCTTCTAGGTCGACCCCACCCCTCTGCCCCAACTGGAGTTTTCTACATTGCCAAATAGAAATGTCTCGCCCCACCAGGCCGGCAACCCCGGTCGCTCATTATGTGAAAATCAAGCATGGGACGCGTGCGTGTGCGTGCAGATATTCCCGGTGTGGTCGTTCTTGTTTACCACCGGCGCAGTGGGCGCTTGTATTGTTCGACGACTATATAAGGTGTACTCGGCCCATTCGGCCAGCAGAGAACCATCAGCTCGTCGATCCTATAAGCAAACATGAGGTCCCTCGTGAGTAACCGTCATTGTTTCGACAGCTTCCGGCGACTTGCCGCCATCTTGGTTACATAGTGGTTACCGGTGCTGGTTACAGGGTGCTTTTCGCTCTCGGAGGGTCTAGGATAACACGAACTTTTTATCTCATTTGTTCACTTAACAAATTCTGTTACACTTTTGGAAAAATGTGTTGTATTGGGTAGAACTTATTTTGCAATTGTTTAGCAAAATATCCTTTATTCTATTCATCACTTCTATTTCTATCAATGTTAGTTAGGCTATTAGTTAATCGAGACGATTAACCTGTCTTTTGCAGTCTAAAATAATTTGTCGGACCAGACCTAACGTGTTCATCCGTCGCAATAATCCTATTTGTTAATATTGTTACTAGACTTTGAATTTTTAATTTTACAGAGCAATTTATTCCGACGAAAATTAACCTTTATTCTGCAGGTTGAAATGTCAACTAGACCTAACCTTATCGGACCTAACCTTGTCAACCATAATCTCACAAAATTTTTCATTCATCACAGTCAACGATTACACTGTATTGGATTTTTTGGTAGCTTCCGTTTCACTGAATTTACTTGGCAATTGTTTAGTAAGATATCCTCACAATTATTTCATATATTAATATCGTTATTTTTAAGATTCTGCGTCAATTTATTGAGAAGTAGATAATCAGCTTTTATCCTACAGGCTGAAATAATTTGTCGGGCCAGACCTAACCTATACAGATTAACATTCATTCCTCATAATAATCCTAGTTATTAATATTGTTACCAGTCAATTTTTAATTTTATACAGCAAAATATTCCGAAGACAATTAACCTCTCTCTCGATTATTTTAATATACTCGATCAGATAAGACCCAACTTAGACCACATGTACCATAACCTAACTAAATCTGACCTAATCAAATCCAACTCACCATCGTTAAATCCATCCAATCCTGCGCAAACCTCATCCAACCCGAGCTATTTAATTAAAAGATTATCGCCATTTCCAGCTGCTCTTCTCGTGCCTCGTGCTGTCAGCCACAGCGTTGCCAGGTTACGCTCCCTACGCAGCGTATGCTGCAGGGTACCACGGCCCGGCGGCCCCACTGGCCCACGATGGCAGGGTGGTGGACACCCCGGAGGTGGCCCACGCGAAGGCGGCGCACCTGGCAGCGCACGCTGCGGAAGCAGCGAAGTCATCGCCGCTGACGCTGGGCTACGCCGACTACGATGGCAGATACGAGGACTACAGCGGAGCCTACGCGGGGCCAGCTTTGGCTGCGTACCACGGACCCCCGGCACCTCTGGCGCACGATGGTCGAGTGATCGACACGCCGGAAGTGGCCCACGCGAAGGCCGCTCACCTGGCGGCCCACGCCGAGCAGATTTCGAAGATCGCGTCGCTGTCATACGCGGAGCCGTACCCCCAGCCTCACTGGTGAGGAGGAGGATTGGTCGCTGACTCTAGCTGCTGGAAGACGGCGCCGCAATCCGAGCCACGGAATTTTCGATTGGAATTTTGGTCCCGTGAATAGTGCAGTGAATACGGTCGGCTGCTCCAGGTCTTCGCACCACCGCCGGGCGACGCTAGCGACGCTAGCGACACTAGCGGCGGCTGGCAGCGTGGTGGGGATAGCCTTGAACTGCCGTCCGTGGAGAAACAGCGTAGAAATTTTGTTCTTTCTAGCACTATTACCGCGTGGATGATTGTGGCCTAGGGTCTAGCGATGATTTCGTATATGGAGATCGTTGGAGTTTGTATTTATGCAACGTAGCGAGCCGTGTTCAGTTTGTAGATAGAGGGTCTTGGGTGCTGGCCGCGCTGGGACTGGGCGACGTGTTTGTTACGGTTTGATATTAAACTGGTTGCATTATTTAACGAACCTTCTGTCTTTCTATGTCACCCCTCACCGTCGACGTCCTTATTATCCTGATGGTTTATCGGCCATCGATGGTTTAGGCGAGCGGAAAGCTATCGGAATTCATTTTAAGATATTGTCCGCGCTATTGTGCCGCGGCACCGACTACCGTGAATTCCTAAATGTCACGTGTTACGCGACTGTCGGAGACTGTCGGGGCCGATTTCTGAGTCGTTATCGAAGCGTTGGCGACAACCTCGCTGTCCCGTTCAGGTCAGCAGGCGCACAATGCACCAGACACTGGTCTCTGAACCAGGATCGACTGTCGCAACGATTCTTATTGCAACGAGAAAACGCTGCACCAATTGTGACGCCGCGTGGCCAACGCGCTGGAAACCGATCGGCTCGCCTGACATTCGAAGAAACGCACCCGGGGTCTAATTGAGGTATTTCTTGAGCAGATGACGACGGAAATGATAATTGGACACTTTTTACCAGGTCTATCGATGAATAAATTAATATTCATATTTATGTTGAATCAATTTTTATATTTAATATGAAGGAAATATTTGTATTTCTATTAAATCGATATTCATATTTATATTGAATCAATATTTATATTTGTATTAAGTCAATATTCGTATTTATATTAAATCAATATTTATATTTGTATTATGTCAATATTCGTATTTATATTAAATCAGTATTTATATTTGTATTAAGTCAATATTCATATTTATATTAAATCAATATTTATATTCATATTAATTTCAAGAACATTCCCCCAGATTTATACTCAAGACCCTTGTTTAAAAAATTAGAAAAAATAAATGTATCTGAGATTATGTTATTAATCGAAGACAATGGTCTATTATATTTTGTGATACACGCAATAGGACAGCCAGTGTAACTTGTTTTATCGATAATGGAAGGCAGATATCAATTTTCTAATTTTTAATGGTTTAATTAATATTGCGTTGCCAGATATGCCAGCGTAGATTACCACGAGGTATTTCACACGAATTGACTTGCATCACCTGTTTCCTTACGGTAGCAGAACGCCGATTTATCGCTTGATCGATCGAGACTATTCCAGCGTTATTATACTGCAAGGTCGGTGTCACGACTTCCTCGATTCTGGTCAGTATACGACGTTAGAATGCCATTCAGAAGTTTGTACATTTATTGAGAACGAAATGAAGCAATAATAATGTTTGCAATAATATTTGTTTCAATATTGAAAACTACTAGAGATTATTTTATTATACGTATGGATTGAGTCGTAAATCTTTGGAGCGACCTTTTATCTTATTTAACATAAACCATTCTTTAAATTCAAGCCTGTTGAAACAGTATCAGCAATAATATTTAAACTCTGTCGTAAATTACTTGTTCGTTAACCTAAATCAAGCTCTAAGTCTTCGGAAGAAGGTTTTTGTTTAATACATCAAAGATTTCTTGAAGTCAAACCGGTTTAAACTAATTAAAACCACTACAAACAGAATTTATTCGATTAGAATTTGTATTATAATATTTACTTGAATTCTGAACCCTATTATAAAGTATTTTATTGTACATGTAAATTATGTCTTCGATCCACAAAACAATTTTTAATTTAATACATAAAACATTTCTTAAATAGAAATCAGATCAAACCACTTCAAACAGAACTTGTAAAAATACTTAATCCAATCCTGAAGCCTACTACAAATCTCAATCTTTGGAACAATGTTTATTTAATATATAAAACATTTTTTAAATATGCGATCAAACCACTCCAAACAGAATATGTAATAATATTTATTCCAATCCTGAATCTTACTATAAATGTCTTCGTTGCACATTGTATAAATTGAATCCTTAATCTTTGGAACAATTTTTATTTAACACATAAAACATTTCTTAAATACGAACCTGTTCAAACCACTTCAAACATAATTTGTAATAATATCTATTGCAATCCTAAACTCTACTATAAATTCTTCGTTGCATATATAAATTGAACCCTATACCTATGGAACAAATTTGATTAAAATTAAAGTAATCCTTATTTTCAAGCCTTTTCAAACTACTTGTAACTTCGTCAAACCAGTTCAAACTTCATCAAACCAGTTGCAATTAGCTCAAACCAGCTCAATTAAAAAATAATACAATTTTATAATGCACTCAGAATTTTCGTAACTGTGCAGAGCCAGAAATATCTGAAATTGTCTCTGTCGCGCCCCGAAAACCGTGGAGGAATATGTTCGCTGCGGAGCGCGGCGATCTAGCAAATGGACCAGAGCTGCAACAGCAGTCCCGCCCATTGCAGTGCTCTAGCCCCGATAAATACCGAGGACGTCGGAATTGCATCCGCAATGACGTGCGTCCACGCTCCTAGTGTCGCATAGCTCCGCTGGGAGGAGAGTTTTATTCCTGACGAGGTTACGGGACACGGTGTCATTGTTAATGCCTGGTAAATGTTACGGGGCAGGGCAGCTAGCCTTAAGGAGAGCATTTTCCTGGGTGTGGTTATACCCCGTTTGTTGTGGCTGCCTTAGAAAGGGGTGGGGCACGGTCTCTTGCGACCGAACCCCTATAAATTGGACGATCCACGATACTGGAAGTCATTATGCGAATCTAAACCTCTATCTGTAGTCGCTGGATCGACGTACCCTGAGGTTCGACAAGATGTTGCACTATCTCGTGAGTACCGCCGCCCTTCTCTCTCGCCTAACCGATTTATTTTGTTCGTAAAACTTAACCCTTTGTGTCCGAAAATCACTGTATTCGTCGAACCACTGCCGCGTGATTTTTTGACAATTTTTGCTCCAAGCATTACCATATAGAGGGTGGGTCATGGTTCGATTTTCGTGACTATTGTCTTGAAATATAATTGAAATATTTTCTTGTCATAAAATCATTGTCATTAATCAATTTATTAAAACAATAAGAACATCGGTGTCTATTTATTCCTGGTGCAGAATTTGTTCAGACAAAATTTGTGCACATCCATCGAAGTAAAGAAAATTGTTTCTCAAAGTATAAATTCAACATTTTCTTTTGGAGATTCGATTTTAATAATAATAAATAAATTGTGCAGGTAATTATATCCATCACCTTCAACGCAGCGTTCTGCGCGCCACAGTGGTACGGTGGCGGTCACCCAGGGGCCTATGGCGGCCACGCAGCACCAGCGCCACTGGGCCCAGACGGCAGAGTCGTAGACACGCCAGAGGTGGCGCAACTCAAGGCTGCCCACTTGGCTGCATTAGCCGACGCCAATGCTAGGGCACCGAAAGTTGGGCCTGGTTCCTACGCTGGTCCATCTGGGCCCTATGCCCCCTCGAACTACGCACACTACAGGTTCGAACATACAATTTTTGAACGCTTATATCTTTTCCGTAAACCATTTCCGGACACAAATTTATCTGAATTATTTGAATTATTTGATCTCAGTAATACATACAAGTTTAGAATGCCCAAACATGTTGGGCACTCTATACTGACATTTTTGATTAAGTTATAAATTGTATAAAACTGTTGTATTTAAAGAAACACATTTTTCAAGGAGATTGAAGCTAACCGATTAATTGTAGTGGCCCACCAGCCCCCTTGGGGCCCGACGGCCGAGTAGTCGACACCGCGGAAGTGCAGCAAGCCAAGGCCGTGCATTTCTCGCTGTACAACGCGGAAGCGCAGCGGGGCCCGGGCCCGGCAGGCCCGGCAGCCCCGGCTCCCTCTTGGAACCCATCGGGCGCCTACAACCCACCCAACCAATGGAACCAACCCAACAGCTGGAACCACTACTAGACGGCGCTGACCCCTCCACAAACCTGCGATCATACTCCCCACTGCTACCGGTGCTTGCGGAAGGTCACGCATCGTCTCCAAACTACCTCTGAACACCAAGTCTACCGAGCATCGACGTAACGGTTTACCAATTTTTTTAGTCCGTTAAAAATCGTCCCTCCCCCCTTCTCTTCGTACCACAACGAATCTCTGCTTCCTTCTGCCATAATCTATCGTCGCGACTGCCCGCTGTCATTGGCAGTCGCGGTTTCAGCTACCTCTCTCTCGACTCGAACGCTGTCAGGAAAATTAAACGTCGCTTCTTTCGCCGCTCTGCAACGCGCCCACAGCGACAACGTCGCGAATCGTTTTCGGATAAATTGTTGAAGAATGTACCGCAGGCATTGTGTCGATCCTTCAAGTGAAATGGGAGAGCGCGCGCTGTTTGTTGGCGAATGCAAATGAAGTAACGGACTGTCGCTGATATCATCGAGTCGTTTCAAGAAGGAAATCGTTATCACATTCCTTTTCAAGGTGATCTCCTTATCGCTCTCGCTTTCGACGGCCGGGGAAAGTCTATGTTCACCTTTGTCTAGATTTCATTCGTAGACTGTAATCACTGTTTCCCCCCTGACTATGCGAATACTCTTTAAGCGTGGATTGTACATAAAGTCGCTAGAGGACGAGGCCGATAATAAAATTCTGTCGCTGCAATTGCTTGAGATCCATCCCCGACGCCATCGATCCAAATACGTTCCGAAAAATAGCCAAAGGCTCAGCGATGTTTTTCGACTATTTCATAGATTGTCCAAAATATAGTATAATTTTTCAAATAATAGTCCAGAGGCTGCAAATGCCTTTTTAGTATTTTACACATTTTTCAAAAATTGTCCAAACGCTGCAGATACCTTTTTAGTACTTTATACATTTTCCAAAAAATAGTTAAAAGGTTGCAGATATTTTTTTAGTATTTTACACATTTTTCAAAAAATAGTCAAAAGGTTACAGACACTTTTTAATATGTTACGCATTCTTCAAAAAATAGTCAATAGGTTGTAGATACCTTTTTACCATTTTATTCATTTCCCAAAAAATAGTCAAAAAGTTAGTGACACTTCGAATGAAATTTGAGTACCACTGTGGTACGATCAGCCGGCTATCAAGCGTGCCTGACTAACATGCCCGTGACATAGATCAGATTGATTCGTGTTCGCCGCGGAAAACACGGCAGTGAAAACAGCGCCGGGTTTACGGTAGTGAGCATAAATCTGATTACGCCGAGGAATCCAGCGGCGTGCGTGGTCGGGACACGTGTACATAGGCGTGAACATGTCGTGAATTATAGTTGCGACAGAATTAGTCGGCTGCTGAAGGCCGTCCCCACCATACGTCCTCCCCACCACTGGACAGTCGACGGCGTAGCAAGACCGGAAGTGGGGGAAGTGGCCTTGGACAGCTGTGACAACTTTTCTCCCGACTATATCCCCATTCTGTCCCTTATTTATCGATCTAGAATCCTGAAAAACAACGAAAACATTAGCAACAATTTCAAGAAAAAACTGTTTAACGGCAATCTAAAAACAATATAAAACAACTTCGAAAAAATTTTAAAAATAATTTAGAAACAGTCTACCAAACAATTTGAATACAGTCTAAAGCAATTTCTTAAAAACAATTTCAAAGCAATCTTAAAAACAATTTAGAAACAGTCTTGAAAACAATGTGAACAAAATAAATACGATAAGCTAGAAAATATTTAAAAATTTAGGACGCATAAAGAAAAATAATTTCCAAGTATAGAATTACCAAATTACTTAAAGACAATTTTTTCAAGTAATTATTGTTCAATTATCACACGGCAAATCAGTATTGAAAAATCCCTTGCGATGCAAGTTTCAATAATTTTTCTTTCAAAAATACAGTCTGGAATTTAATTGTTTCCTTTGACGAGATTGGGCCCACTGGCAGCCGGTGAGCTTTTGAACTCGGTGCCCGGCGCATATCTCGTCAGGCCCGGTCAATCACGTCCTTGCTGGCAACACGAATTACCGTCTAGCGTGGCGGGACGGGCGTGCCCCGTTCACGGTGTCCAGCTATCTAGCAGAACCGGTTCTACGGACGGTGTCTGGTGGTCTGGGTAAGTGCAAGGCCCAGGACTTGGGCCCACCGGTAGCAGACACGACTCACGGATCATTTGCTCTCGGACGGAACCGGGATCACGAGCAGTTTCTCGTGATTCTTATCTCGCCGATCGACCGTAATTGACTGTTTAACCGCGACGGATATTGAAATTAGCGCTTGTCTCGGCGCTCGAAAGTGAACGTCCAGGTAGGGGCCCTGCTGAATTTCTTCTTGCCGGATGACCGGAACAGACCATGGGTCGTCGGGCTGACCTAGATACGTCAATTTTTGCGACAGCTTTTCAACACCTCGGTTACAGATGCTTCAACACCTGGCCTTGGGACTATGTCTTCATTACTAAGTTGGATTAGGGTATACCTATTACCTGTTGGATGCTAGGTTATCATTGTTAATTCTAGCTATAGGGCATCACCTTTTAGAGGCCTTGGCCATACGTCATCATTGCTAAGTAAACTTAGGGTATGGATAGTTAACAGTTCATGACATCTAGTAAATGATTGGTACCTAACTATAGGGAATAAACATTCTCTTTTAGATAGCTCAGTACTTGGGCCTAGAGACTAGCCCTATGGCTTTATTGCTAAGTGAGCATAGGGTATAGCTAGCTACCCATTACTTACTGGGAGTTAGGACTATAAGCTGAATATAGGGTATCAGTAGAGGTGCCTTGTTATCTTGCTAAGTAAACTTAGGGTATAGCTAGCTACCTTTTATTTACTCGATGTTAGGACATCTAAAAGCTAACATTACTGACTAGGATCTTAGACCTGGTCCATCGTCATCCCTGCTAAGTAGAGAGAATACCTAGGTACCTATCACTGCGAACTAGCTTGAGAATTCAATCAGTCTCGAAATCTTTGGCCGATTGAAGTAGGTCTCAGTCCCACGCACCGTCGTATCTGAATAGCTGAACACAGAAATATTATTGGAATATTAATTGCCAGCGCTGGGAGTGTCCCTAAATTACGTTTAGCAAATGTCAACACGGGACACGTCACGCTCGCGAATTCTGGTCGGTGTCAGGGGATTCTGATACGGCGGAATCCGGGTTGCACAAGACCTAGGCCAAGCTGGGAGTGCTCTTCCTTTCGATTTCTCATTGGACGACGCCCACTGTACCTGCTCGGCTATTTTGCCTACATTCGAGCGTGAGTAATCCCGGCACGGTGTGGGATGACAGAATAAGTGCACGGTGAGCCCACGTGGGCCTCCTAGTCACGTCTGAAATGATACTGCATTGGCGGCGCGATCGGTATCCACTTGAGTGACGTCAGAATGGGAATACCGATGGAGGAGGAATTGGAAGTTGGAATAATTGGGCGAGCCGGGACGAATGACTGGTCGCGTTCCTAAATGTCGGTAATTAGGAGTGTAGGTTTAAAGTTGAGGGTAATTACCGGGACTCATCGGCGAGTAAAACAATGGGCCTTGTCGCAAGAAAATTGCCAAGCGCGTGGAGAATTAATAGAGAAATTAGTAAGCAGGCACGAGCATAAACGAGGTGGGTGAACGAATGACTAATGTCGGGAGTGGGTGGACCATCGAAGAAAGAAGAAGAACAAGAGAACCACATTTGTATTTCACGAAGACATAATACCGTGTACAGAATACATATTGGTGGCAATAAACACAAGTATTCTAATTCGACCGCCCTTCGCACACTAAGCTTCCTGCTACAGGCAAACAATTGATAGCTTAACTTAAACGCTACGTGTGTGTGTGTACCTTAATCGTTAACTATTACGCATATGGCAATTAAATTCAAATTGCGACGCTCAGCAATATGAAGACCTACGCTTAATCCGCTTATACGAAATGATCGATAGTAACAGTATTTACAGACACCTCCGCTCTTGCTCTGCGATATTCTCGGCTGAACAAAATCCCATTGGCCATTACAGAAATCAGGTACAAGCTATGCTTCCTAATGAAGGTATCAGAAACGAGGATGTTATATTTATTAACACGATTTCGATTTCTCTGTCACGTACCCAGTCGCTGGCATTTCCCCTTCAGTAGTATAGATCATTCTGCGTAGACATTGCAACAGCGCGTGCGTGAGCCTTCATGTGCGCCTCGCGCGCCCTCGCCACTTCCGGGGTGTCGACGACACGCCCATCGGACCCCAGTGGCGCGAACGGCCCACGATAGCCAATCGGTGAGATGTGTTTGTAGGCCACTCGAATCGGGGCCAAATAAACCAAATTCTTCCTCCCATCGAACACGTCCAGCTCGTAAAACTCGGACGCCTTGGACGCGGCGCGGGCGTGCGCCGCCATATGGGCGCTTTTTGCGGCGGCCACCTACCAATGAAATTCGAACAAACATTGTCGAGACAGTTGACAATTTGAGGAGCCTCGATTGTGCCAATTTTCATGATTAAGAACAGTGATATGAAATGCGGTATAAAAATAAATAAATAGAATATATCGGGTCGCTCGGAATAGCTGTTTTTAAAAAGATTTCGTTTTCAGTATTTTGCCAATGAAAAAGAGGTCTTCTATCAGTCACTAGAACTGTCAAAGCTACCAAAAAGATATCAGAAAGTTAATTAAAGTTAATTTCTTTCACTGTAGACACTTGAAAACGCGTCTTTCACTTTCTCGTTAAAGAATATAACAAATATTGGGACCGAGAAATATTTTGAATTTTGTATTTGAAAAATTAGTTAACGATTAGTTAACAAATGACAGCAATTTTTCCTCACACTGGATGTATATTATATATTAACTATAAAATATAAGAAAGGGAAGCGAATGTTTTTATCCGCGATACTTGGAATTTCGTAGAACCTGGCGCCATCTACCGTCGACCTTCCTAATTAAATCAAGGACACGGCCGCTCCTTCGAGACTCGGCAACTTTTCGTCGCGACTCTAGCACGCCAACGACGATGACTATGTTTTTTTTACTCACCTCGGGAGTGTCCATGACACGGCCATCAGGACCGAGTGGCGCCATCATAGGTCGTTGACGTTGACGTTTCGGTGGTGTCGTCGCCTCAGTCATCTGGGGCATCATTTCAGGCATCATCATCATCATCGACGTGTCACCGTTTTCCTCGTACGTCTCGTAGTCTTTTTCGGCTTTCCTTAGCCTGGCCATGGCCTCTGCGTGCATCGCTAAGTGGGCAGCCCTCGCGGAGGCCACTTCCGGCGTGTCCATCACCATTCCATCGCTATTAAGTGGCGCCGGCGGGCCGCTGTACTGGTAATACTTGTCCTCGTACGTTCCAGCAGTGGCCGCGACCAACGCAGCCAGAACTATCTGGAAAATTCGGGGAAACAGGTTCGAAACACAGAAATCCAATCGGTCGAGATTAGCGGAAAGAACTTCGAGATCGACTTCGTCAATTTTTAGCGGGCCCGATCACGAGTGTAGAAATGAAATTTTCGGTTTACTGAATGAATCTCGACGACCTCCGAATCGAGCCGTGAATTTCACGGTGACCAACGGCTGCGGCAGAATTTCGTGAAAATTGCGAGATCGTGTCGTCGTCGCCGGAATCCGAAATTCATGGTTCTCGGTACTGTGATCGCACTTACAATTAATCTCATGCTGCCAAGGCACCAACGACCACGAAACGGACGTCTCGATTGCGAGTGTATCACGTTCGATCCATCGATCTTGCTTTTATAGCGTCGCGGTGTCACCGCGCGCAAACCACGTTACGATGATCACACCCGAGACGATAATCGATACCTTAATTGTTTCGTTTCTGTCGCGAATGCCAACCGTGATCCTGGGAGACACGCAGATAAGGAAACTGGAGTTTCTTCACACAGCCTATAGATCGGTGAATCCATCGATAGATCGTATCGGAAAAATGAACGTCAATTCCCTAAAAAGTTAAACACAAGCAATTTCTCCGATTTTAATAATCCTATAAAATAAGCTTCAAGACTATATTATATTGTATTTAAAATTGTTCACAAAAATACTAAATAATTTCTTGCTATATTTTATCAGGAAAGAAAAACGATAAAAGAATTGGTAAAATTCTGTTAAAAAAAAAGATTCGAATTTTGTGTATATTTACAACAATCGGTCGTGCATCTCTATTGTTCCGTTTCGATGATAGAAAACGATGCGCAGATTTATTTTTCAAATATGTTTCATTACTTTATGTCTATGTTACAATGTGTATGTTTCACCAATGTTTATATCGTATTATTGTTTATATTGCAGCAGCTCCATCGAGCGTCCCTGATGTTTCTACTCGACTTTTCGAGGTCAGTTTTCAGTGTAGTGCAACAGCACACCCCCGCCGCGGCGTCGCAAGAGACACGGCTATGCAACTTAGGCAGCACTTTTCTGCGGTTTCGAAACACGCCTTGATTCACGGACGACTAGACGGGATCATAGATCCTCCTGTGATCCCTTCAAGGCAGTCCTCTTTCCACGATGCGATTTCGTCCCCATATAAACACCGCTCCAGATACAGGCCAGCCAATTACCATTTGTTTCTCCTTGAAATTATTGCCCCTTTATTGTCATCGGTCGATTCATCGTCATAAGTATTTTCTAGCTATTTGACACGGTCAGATCATCATCACAATTTTTTCTTTTGTATCCAACTCAGTCGAATGAACATCATATTTATTTCTTTAAGTCTACGACACAGTCAAATCATTGTCACAATTTTTCTCTAGGCATCCGATACGGTTAAGTCATTATAACAATATTTTTCTCGGTAACTGACACAGTTAAATCGTCATTATATTTTTTTCTAGGTAACTGACACAGTTAAATCATCATTATATTTTTTTCTAGGTCTAAAACACAGTCAAATCATCATCACAATTTTTTCTAGGTTCCGATACAGTCAAATCGTCATCAGAATCTTTTTCTAGGCCTCCAACACAGTCAAAGCATCATTAACATCACAAATTAATTTGAACATCATTCACGTAAAATTATTAACCCTTTGTACTCGAAGCTATTTTAACTCCAATCTCAAAATAGTTTTTCGAACGATTAAAAGTATCTCCATCTTATTTAATTTAGTGCATTTCATGCGCATGAAATCGGTCGACTTTTAATAGTTTTATAAATATAAATCTCTCTCTGATAATGTAAAAATGTTTGATACAAGCGAAATGATTCGATAATGATACAAGTCGAAGGAAAAGCCGATCGGGAGCATTTATTAATCTTTCGAATCAATGTTACCACGCGTCGCCTGATTTCTTGTCTGTCTGGCGTCTTATTTTACCGGCTGTGTCGTGCTACATCAAGAAACTAATCAGACGCCAGACGATTAGCGTAACAGGCGTGCCGAACCGCTACGGTTAATTAGCATAGATTCAGATTCCCTGTTTACGACGTAACATGACACGGCCGGGTCGATGACTTTCGTGAGGAAACAGTTGCGCAAAAGTTTTACGCAAAGCCTGGTCCCCGTAGCATATAATCTGTACCGCCTGCAACGTGATTATAGCATATTCGGTCCGGGCTGATTGTTAACGTTGCCACCTTTGGGAAACGAGGCTGAGAAACCGAACGCTTAACCTTTCCAGTCGTTACGAATTTTTTCGACACAGATCTCATACGTCAAAAAACACCGCGAACAGTCTAAGCACCCCGTCGAATGCTCTGAATCTCAAGCCCGTGCATAGGCAATTTTTAATTAGCGTAAGCGACGCTTACCAAGCGCGTCGATTACTGTGCCCATCCCCTGATTACTGTGGCCTTACATTAATTTCGCTTCTATTTAGAAATAACGTTATTGAATCAAAGATATCGAGGGTCATTTTAATGGGCACAGTAATTGACCCACTTACCCCATTTAATTGGGCAATGTTCGATGCTTGAACAACGTGGTTTCAAAATTGAAAATTCGATGGTATCTTGGTATTGCCACGTCGACGGCCTCGGAAATGCCAGTCCGAATAAGTTACAATTCTCAACCTTTCTGCTGGTAAAAACGGCGAATCACGATGTTCGAGTTCGTTCAGGAGGAACGAATCTCCGTTCCCCGGATCGTTTCTTCTCACGTCTTTCGTATACCGGTGTGACCTATGTTGTAACATTCGGTCTGGAGGCAGCCTGCAGCTACAAGGTAATTCCCTTTCAATAAAGTCTGTGTCCCATCCCGAAAAGGATGCGAGATCTGTGAAGGGAAATTCGGGTCTGCTTTAGGTTCGAGTTTAGATCTGGAGCTTTCTGAGCGGCTTGGAATTGAATTCAGTCCTGGAGTGGAATTTGGACAGGTCTAAATTGATTTACAATTCTAAATCGTGTCTAAGTCATCTTTAAATCAAGTCTATTTCAAGTATAAATAAAGTCTAAATCGAGTCTAAATGAAGTCGAAGACAAGTCTAAATCAAGTGTAACTCAAGTTTAAATCAAATCTAAATTAAGTCTAAATCAAATATAAGCCAAGTCTAAACTAAGTGTACTCAAGTTTAAATTAAGTCTAAATCAAGTATAAGCCAGGTCTAAATCAAGTGTACTCAAATTTAAATTAAGTCCAAATCAAGTATGAGTCAAGTTTAAATCAAGTCTAAATCAAATCTAAGTCAAGTCTAAGTTAATTTTAAATCAGGTCCAAACTCTGGTCACAACTCTGGTCGACTCTGATTTAAATCATGACTAACTCAGTTTTAAATTAGGTGCAACCTGAGTTCGAGAGGCAAATTAAATCGCTCTACAATTTTTTCCGTCCCGTCGTACCGATCGCTTTCCGTTTGCAATGTCTTCATAGAACTTTTTTTCTCCGCAAACCGCAGCAGTATGGGACAATCGTTGCCATAAACGACGCAGTAGCTCCAACTCGATTAAGCGATCGTTCGATCTCTCCCTTGCCGCTTCGATTTTTATCCCGATCGAGCCACAGGCGTAAACTTTCGCAAGCTTTGCGTAAACTTTGCGTCACGACGGTTTCGTATCGACGGATGTAATAAATAAAAAAAAAATCGATCTGTCGAACTGCGCTACACCGTCGGCGTGTTTCCAGGCGGCGCAGAGTTCGCCCGGCAAAAACGCGCAGCATTCAATGCGCCGCGCGACGTGTTGTCGTCGAAAGAAGCCGGGCACGGGGCGGCCCTGAAGAAGTGTTCTCGCTGACTCGGTCCAGCCGAGGATTTCTTTCTAATTCTTGGATTACGCTAACCGCAGTGCATAGTGAAATCGAATGTGGGTTAACCTGCGGTCTCGCACGACCGAAACGCGTTCGCGATTCGTGCGTGTTGTGCCGTAGATTCGGTGACTCCTCGAGCTGCGCGTTCGATCGACCCACTCTGCGGCCGATAAATATGCCAGACGCAAAATCGCGTTATGGCCCGACGCAATCGAGATGTCCCAACGCGCCGGACGCGTCTCTTCCTGCGCAGAAATGTACTTGTCTCGCCACTAAGCCGATAAGCAAATCGATTGTCGGCGCGATCTTACGTTACGCGAAAAAATGCGCCGAAGGATAACAGCTTATTGACTTTCTTGCGTGTATATTTTTGAAATCGTTATTATATAAGTCGAAATAATAATAACGATCTCTGCGGTCTTTTCCCGAGACCGCAGAAACAAGATCAAGATGAGGACACGCAAGAAAGGAGAAGCAGAAAAATTCGGAATAAATAAAATCGTGCGCCAGATTTAACGGACGCGATACGCGTAATCCGATGCAATCGGATGCGACGATTACACTTTAACAATGCAAACGGACCCGATGCGATATCAAACTGTATCTCGCTTCTGATTTCGAAGGGGTATTTGCAATAATATTCCGAGAAACCGTTGGTATCGTTTAACATCGAACAGCAAAAATATATTCATTTAAACAGGTAAACAAACATCGCGAAGAATAGCGATGCAGAATGGGCAGGATCGTTGAAATGAAAAACTGCGACGATTGCGTCTGCTTTCTTTTTTTTAAAATGTGAACAATTTATTGGCCTAAATTATGTACAGATGTCCCGATTTTTCAAGAAAATTGTCCAGGATCAGTAGGTGCTGACTCTTTGATAGCTTTGCGCTGGGAACGATGATTTCGCATAAGCGGCTTGTGGAGCATGATACGGCAGTCCCGGGCCAGGAAGCACTTGCGGCGCAGGAGCGTTGTATTGTAGGCCATCGTAAGGAACTTGACCGGTCGGCCCAGCGAAGGCTGAAACAAATATTAAGTTAAGTCCACGAGATCTAAAATGAACGCTCGATTAAACGTGCAATTGGAAGTGCCGTCCGCGCGAGAACTTCGAACGGCTTAAATCCGACACACGATCCTCGCGCTGCTGTCGAGTGAGATGTCGAAATTGCTCGATCCGCTTTTGGGAGCAGGCCTCGAGTTAACACGGAACAAACGGAACCGGTTCTGGCCCGTCACTTCCTCCGACTGTCAACCGAGTTCGTTCTCGTTTAACCCCTAACCGGACGGACAATTGCTGACAGTTATTGTTTCAGTAAACATTCCGTCTCTCCAAATTAGCAAGTGCAACTGGATTTACGTCGAATCATCGCGGACTCGGTGAGCAGACTGCGCATCCTCTTTTGCATTTGTGTGCAGATTTTTCAAATGCAGGAAAACGTGTAAAACGAGGAATATAAATTTAATATAATAAATATTAATAAGTTTTTAATTGACGAAGGAAAATTTTCTTTAATTCTTGAAAAATGGACGAGCTATCCTCGTAAATATTTACTTTACTCTTTCATTATTTATAATTATTAATTCTTGTAAAATTGACCTGTTAAATGGAGGATTGCATGAAATTTTAAATACTTACATGGACGAGTTACATGTTACAGTTACTTGCTCGGCCATCATATTCCGGTTAAGGGTTAATAATACTTTTTAAAATATTGTTTAGATAATAATAAATAGTTCTGCAACTCCTAAGGTCGTTCACAGAAGTCGGCGCCTGACCCGCGGTGACCCTGTTTAATATTCGTGACGAAGAATGGCTAATTCACGATTATAGTCGGAACGATTAGTGTCTCTGCGGACCATTCCCACAAGAACAATCGAACGATTAAGCCGTTGGGAAACCGACTGACTGCTGCATCGCATTAGGCTGTCACAAATGTATCCATATCTGGCAAATGGTTAAATGTTACCGTCTGCGAAAAATATTATCATTGCCATTGTTACTTGAGCACCGTTTACGCATTTTTTCCCAATTGATCTTGCACTCTGTTTCTCTTTAACACTCGGACGACGGCGGTCGGGTCAATTTGGACCCGGTATACAAATATTCTTACTCTACTTATTTTTATTATAACGAATGCCACGAGTAAAAAATTTATTCGATCATTTTATCACGGAAGAGTCTTTATATAATCTCAACAATTTTCAAATCGAAAACGCCTTGTAATATCGAAAAAATTAATAAATAAAATCATAAACAATCATAAATATTCCGAATATTTGGTTAAATTTTTGTCAAAAAGATCCGTCGTTCGAGTGTCACCATATCGACCTCCACAGAAACAGTAAATTATTTATATCATTTAACATTTAACATTTAACATTCGTTCGGAGAAATTGTTATTTACATTAATCATGGATCGTTCGATATCTCGGATAAAAATTGAACCGGTTCTTGACCCAGTCAACGACTTCGAAAAACTTGTCAAGGATGCGCGAACGTACCTTGGCCTCCAACTTCCGGTTTAAAGTCTTGCGCGTACTTGTATGCCCTGGCTTCGGCCTCGGCCAACTCCGCCAGCCTGGCGGCCTTCAGGGCTGCCACTTCCGGCGTGTCGATTACCGTGCCATCTTCAGCGAGGGGGGCAGGAACGAAGGGGGTGGGCTTCGCGGTGGCAGCAGCATAGTTTGGAGGCCCGACGTAGTTGGCGCTGTTACTGTATTGCGGCTGGTAGGCCACTGGGCTTTGCTGGCTGTATGCCGGGGCCTGAACTGCAATTTTTGTTTACGATTATTTGTCTGGGGCCTCGAATTCATCGTAGATAATCTAGATTTAGTTGAGTTTTAATCCAGACTTGGACAAATTTTAATTTAAATATAAACGAGACTTAATCAAAGCTTCGGTGAGTCTTAATCCAAACTTAGACAAGACTTAATCCAGACATAGACAGGTTTTAATTCAGACTTAGACAAGTCTTAATCCAGTCCAGTTAAAACTTAATTCAGATTTAGTCAAATCTCAATCAAGTAATACAACAGAATTGGTCAACTTTTAAGTCCAAGTTTGGTTAAGTTTTAAGTCATGTTTATATTCAAGTTTTAGTAAAGAGTTTTAAGACAAGATTTAAATCAAGTTCAAAGTCAAATTTTGAGTCAAATTTTAAGTCAAGTTTCAAGTCATATTTCAAGTCAAGTTTTAAGTCACATGTCAAATTAAGTTTTGTGTCAAGATCTAATCCAATTTTAAGTCGAAAATTCAATCAAGTTTTAAGTTCACAGATTTAGTTAAATTTAAAATCCTAATTTAGCCTAGTTTTAAGTTCAGATTTATCCAAGTCTTAAGTCCAGATTTAGCCAAGTTTTAAGTTGAGATTTATTCAAGTTTTAAGTCCAGATTCAATCGGCAAACCTCGACCCCAGCAATCCAGACTAAGTCAAGTTTCAATCCGGACTTAGCCGAGTCAAAAAGCACGACTTAACCATTTTACCTGGAGCAGATTGGTAAGCAGGAGCTTGCGACTGGTAGCTCGGTTGTCTGAGGTAGGTAGGAGCTGTGGGCTGCGCCGGTGCATAATTGTAAGCCTGCGACGGAATCTGTGGACTGTATTCTGCAGTTTGGGGTCGGTTCTTGGCTTCCTCCGCGGCTCTCGCAGCAGCCCTAGCGAACTCTGCGAAGTGGGCAGCCTTCGCTTGTGCTACTTCCGGCGTGTCGATTACGTTTCCGTCTTGACCGACCGGTGCTGGGGGTGCAAACCTTTGGGGAATCGGTTGGCCATGAAGTTGGGGTTGTTGGTCTACATAGCTCGGTTGGCTCACGTAGCCGGCGCTGCAGCTCGCTGCCACGGCGAATATAATGATCTATAATTGTAGAAAATACAATGAACCACCTAATTAAAAAATAAACTACTTTAGAGTTAACAAAAAAATTCTAGCTGATTCTGTACCCGGTTTAACGAGAATTGACCGGAAGTGTAAACTGTTTAAAACGTTTTCTTTAATAATTTATATAACAGAATCAGAATAAATGTCACATGTAATAAGTACATAAATTAAATGTAGAAACATAGTTCTCCAATACCTTAATTTTTACTCTCTTTTACCTCCTCGTTTGCGTTATTGTATAATGATGTTAATAATATTTAATTATCACTTTTTCTGTATTTCCGAATTGAATCACTGTTTATTATATTACATTCTGTAACCCAAACGGTATTTTACTCAATTAATAAATAAATAATAATATCATTAGAAATTTAATAAATTGGAAATTGTGTTCCAAATGGATTCCATTGGATGGAAGTGTTTAAGGAGAAGGTAAAAAAAAAGAAGAAAAATAAGAGTAATTGAAGGGTTGGTAATTTTCGAAAACGGTGCCACAATCGCTGATATCGATTGGCCAGTTGCGTTACGAGATCTGATTGGCCGCGTTGCGTGGGCCGTTTCTCTGACCTGGCCGAGTGACCCGATCTACCCTAACCTTTCACTTTCCTTTGTTCGCCGAGGGAATTCTGATCGGATCGGTACGGATCGGATCGGATCGGATCGACCGGGTCCGGACCCGCCAGGGACTCACCAAGCCTCTCATGTCGCCCTGGTGTAATCGCGCGGTCCCTTTCTCTCCGTATGGTCCTCTTCTAACCAGTGTCCCTCCCTTCGTTCCCGGCCGATGAAGCGCTGCTGATGGACAGTGGGAGACAGTGGTTTCCGCTTCGGCCGGCGTCTGCTAGCCGCGGGCCCGGTCTCGCGTTTTGTGTTCCTGGAGAACGGCCGGTTGGTACCATTTATAGCTGTGATCATCCGCCCCCTACCACGTGGCCGGGTTACCCGCGACCTGGAGGGGCCCTACAGGAGGTGATCGGCTAATCCACGTTGCCTGGGAAGTTCGCCCAGGAAAAAGGATACTCCCTCCTTTTTCCTGGTGGCGCGACACCGTCGCAGGACCTTGGCATTTGAGCGAGGTCCCTGTACTCCTGGACCGGAAGGATATCGATCGTGCCCAGGCCCCGGCACTCCTGCGCTGTGAAATTCGACACTTGCGGTTTCAACCGGACCCCCGGCCACGTTGCCGCGCTAATCGGTCACATTAGGGGCATCTTTTTTTTTTAATGGCTCGTTGCATTCATACATTGTCGTGCAAAAGTATTTGGACACTTGCGCGTCGTTGTAACCCTTCTAACCCTCTGTTACGAAGTTGATTGGAGATCTCATCTTAGACGGCTAGATCAGGCCCATAAACATCAAAAAATATTTAACGTATGTAAATTTGTTGAAAGGAAAAAGCATGGATTAAAATCGATGTAAAATTGATCGACTGCTTTTTATTTTGGACCTCTGCGGTAAATGGTACAATGTTTTCAATTGTTACAGTTTTAGACGTCGGTAGTACTATTAGATAATGAGTAAAATATTTTTGTCTAATTTCGCTATTACTTGGAATGGTAAACAAGATAAAAAAGTCATGTTCTTTTTTGTCATTTTAATCAAAGGATTAGGAGATACTGTGGCAATAATTTCAATCCACTGAAATGAATTACAAATTATTTTATTGAAAATAGTTATCAATATATTTATATTGAAGAGACTTATCAATTATTTCATTTTGACTAAGAATCCGCGGTTAGGAATTCTTTGTATATAATAGCGAGGAATGCAGACATACAGGGTAATTAAATTTCCTTGAATTGTTATCTGCAGCGGGTGCGATTGGATGTTACTCATGTTTCAACACAGTGGAACAGAAGAAAACCAGTGTTACAGTGTATCCTATTACGGGCAACAATGTCAGTGGATCGAAATGGTAACGAGCAGCGTTACAATTAAACGAGCGGCTCCGTTATATGTCATAACCCATATAAAAAATGTATCGCCGTATCATCATTGTTTCTTGAACTCGTAACACCTTTCCGTTTCACAGCGGGAGATGCAACCGCTAGACGTAATTGTATTTCTGGCTGTCGCTAATATGAGAAATTACATGTGACTCGTGCAACACGTGAGAAGCACGTTTCAACATGGCCGGGGAAGTTTCGTCTGGGACATATCTCCGCGCAATTGAATCTGGGAAAAGGCTCTAAGTACGATGGGAAGATGCATTTCCTCGGATGCCTAACTGGCGTAACACTCTTTGCATTGAATTGATGAATGAAGATATTTAGACTTAGAAATTGGAAAATAGGAGAGTTAGAAAATTAGGAAATAGGAAGATAGGAAAATACTGAAATAAGAAAATAGGAAAATGCTGAAATAAGAAAATAGGAAAATAGGAATGGTACAACTGGAAAAATGGAAAAATATGAAAATAGGAAAATACTAAAATAAGAAAATAGGAAAGTAGGAAATTAGGAAAATAAGAAAATAAGACTGGTACAACAGGAAAAATGGAAAAATAGGAAAATGCTGAAATAAGAAAATAGGAAAGTTGGAAATTAGGAAAATAAGAAAATAGGAAAATAGGATTGGTACAATTGGTAAAATGGAAAAATAGAAAAATAGGAAAATATTGAAATAAGAAAATAGGAAAATAAGAAAAAAAAGGAAAATAGGAAAGTAAGAAAATTGAAAAATGGGAAAATAGGAAAATAAGAAAATAGATAGGAGAATTGAGAAGCCGGAAAATTTAAAAATAGAAGGATCGGAAACTTTGCTGAACTACAGATCACCATAAGTGCAACCATAGAATCTGCAGCCTATTTTTAATTGGTGAAATATTCCCAATAAAATGAAATCGAATTTTTACTCGATAATTATGGACATCTTTTTCTAATTTGCTTAACAAATCGTCGCGGAGAAAGTGTTTAATCTCGATCGTGCACTCGGTATCGTGCACTCGAAGTACCCGGTGCTCAAACAAAGGCACGCGCAAGTGTCGAATGAGTTAGCAACCCTGAACGAACGAAGGACTCGGGGCCGAAGGACAGTCTCCGCTGAGAATGCATTCCCACAATATTTTTCCACGCGTGCAATTTATTGTACCTAACGTTCGATCGCTGATAGGGGGCAGGTTCACGTGATCGTGCAGCGAGATTAATCACAGGTCGTTGACAATATAAACCGACTCGCAAATCATGACCATATGATCTACGAAAAAGTCACGGAACCATTGCGAATAATTGTCTAGCGAGCTAAAAAATTAAATGTAGCGCGACATTGTGCTGGAGACACTGTGGACGCTGTGCTCAGATTTTTTGCAACCGCGTTGCATGAAAATTGAGCAAGACACCGTGTCCCAATCGGCGTAAACGATTGTCAATTCGTGGCAGAATATCTGCAAAATGATTTGCCAATTGCGTGCGAGCTACACTAGAAAGTTGATGGCTTTTTTCTTCTGCGCCGAGAGAAAAAAGTGGCATTTCGTCACATCGAATGCTGAAAATAATTTGTCAGCGAGGCAACGTTTCGCGAAATCAGTTTCATTCAATTTTCGATCGACGGAAGGCTGACTTTAATGGAGCCATTCGACCATAATCAGAATCGTAATACTTTTGTTCGGTTCTACGAATCAGGAACGGAGCAGTCGACCCTGAATTTCGTCAGATCCGACGGCGTTCGTCGTCGAAGGTCATCCGCGGTAGAAGTTCACACTTCATCGTTTAACCAATTGCTTTCAGAAGGTTGTTGCCATTCAGGAAGCAAAAAGAACGCAAGTATAAATAAATTCGAAGAAACTTACTCGCGGTGTAAATTCATGAAAGGGGTACTATTTTTGACTCCTGAAAGTATTCCGCGAGCCGGAGTAATTGAAGCGAAACGAGCGTTTTGCGTCTGTTATGCGAGTCTGTTGCCATAACAGAGCTTCTTGCCCACTGTGCACTCTTACGTGCTGATCAAATTCTAATCCTTTCTCGACCAAAATGGCCACGTTATGATCCAATAATTTTCCTCGTTTCCAAAATTTAAACGATCAATTTTTCAGAGCTAAAATCAACAGAAGCAGACTCGAGGTGCAGGCCAAAGGTCACTCGATCCTCTCATCCATCATGTACTCTTGGATTCTGACAAAATTCTAAGTTCGTCCGAATAAAAACTCGCCAAAGTGCGGACCATTAATTGTCCCGATCCATAAAATTCAAGCGTCGAAACTTGAGGAGCTGGAACACAGAGAAGCGGACTCGAGGTACAGGTGAAAGGTCACTTTATTAAATCAGCCGAAGTCATATGTACAAAAAAATGGAACGATTCGCGCAGCCAACGTCGCCATGGTACCCTAAGCGATTAGGTACTTCTGAATCACTGGAGCGGAGTACGCGGAGACCACCAAAGGCAGCTCGAGATTTTTGCCGGCTTCGGCAGCCAGGCCGAGTTTCTCGTTCACGTGAGCGGCAGTGTGTTCCGCCTTGGCGAGGGCGACTTCCGGTGTGTCAACAACGCGGCCATCGGGCCCGAGAGGAGCAGGGGGGACGATCTTAGCGATGGCTACGGTTTCCAGGTCGCCGGTAGTCAGAACAGGCGACGTGTAGGCGATCACTTGGTCCGCAGACTTGACTGCTTCGTTGGCTAGGGCGATCCTCTCGTTGATGTGAGCGGCGGCGTGCTCTGCCTTGGCCAGGGCCACTTCCGGTGTGTCCACCACACGGCCATCTAGGCCGATGGGTGCTCCGGGGACCAGTTTCGTCAGGATCGGCGCGGATAGCGTCGCCAGCTGAGGGCTCAACAGCAGACCTGGCCTGGCGACGGCCACCGCCAACAGGCTGGACAGAATGATCTGGAGCAGAAAGTGGTTTTTAGGTCGATGAGCTCGGTTTTAGGTGGTTGCGTAAGCCATCGGCCGCCATTGGCGATTTACGTAACCGAAGGCCCAAAAAGTTGACAGGGAGATAAAAACTGACGGTTGCTCTTTTTCAGTGCTAGCCCAGCTTCTTTTTTTTTAGACTGGGCCCTAGATCAAGATAGAATTAATTCATGGAAACTTTAATGAGAAGTTACTTTACTGATTTCTAGAAGTTACTTTACTGTTACAGTTACTGATTTCAAAATAGTAAATGAGTAAATAAGTAATGGTGGACTGTAGAGCGACGATTCCAAGTACTCACCAAGGTGTTCATGGTGTGCAAACGGGGCTCCTTGAGCGCTATCTGAATCTCAGTACTCGCTAAGGTGCCTTGCTTCGGTCTCGTGGCATCCTCCCCGGCACATGGGCTTTATATAGCACCTGAGCAAAAAGGTTTCGCTTCATGGGTTCTCCCATCGGGACACCGCGTGACTGGGATACGCCCTATCCAACGCAGACCCGATACACCTGACATTGAAATTTGGTCCAATCACGGCGGCCAGGAACCGTGACTTTTTTTTTATCCCCCTCGCTAGAAACAATCGGCACCGAGGGGGACCAAATCGAATCTGTCGTAAATGTCGATTGCAACCGATTGGCTCGAGACGTTCGACGGTTCTTTTTTTCGCCGTATATTGGACTCGTGTCGCCGGACTATTTTCAGAAACTCGTTCTCGTCGACCCAATTTCTTGTGTGAAGTAGCATGTTCGTAACGATTAGAATGAAAGGTGTGTACGACTGGATGTCAGGTGTAACAAGAGACCGCGTGATGCAACGGAGTGCGCGATGCCTCTGTTGCAACCACCCTTTTCGCTTCCATTTATCAAAATAGGGGACCAATACATATTCCTCGGCATAAGGTCTACCGCCACCGAGATTGGTGTCTCATCAGGGTTCCAGAAAAATGATCAAAAATGTCAAAGGGTAATAACAAGGTGTACTTGACATCCTCTTCTATTCCGATCACTATGGCTGTCCAAAAATGTCAACACAGGAGCCAGCAGTATCTTTCCACGACTCAAACAGAGTCTGACCGACGCCATGCTATCTGAAGTCAGCATAATTAATTCTACCGTGAGAGCTTCCAGTATAACTGTGGAAAAATGATCCAACAAAAAGGGACCTTATCAAAAGGACACCTGTCATCAATGTGCCATATTAGAACCCTAGGAAAATGACTAAAAACGCGAAAGTATAATAGCAAGAGGTGTGCTTGACATCCTCTTCTATCCTGATTAGCATGGCTGCGCAAAAAAGTCAACATAATATCGAGTAGTATTTTTTCGAGATCCAACAATAGTCTGATTAAATTCATGTACTTTAAAGTCAGCATAATCACCTCCGACGTGAGAGTCTCGAGTGTAACTGTGGAAAAATGCTCCACCAAAAGAGGACTCCATCGAAGGGACACCTGTTACCATTGTCCTCCGTCAAGACCTTAAGAAAATGATCAAAAGCGTCGAAGTCTAATTACCAAGGTACGCTTGACATTTTCTTTTATCCCAAACAGTATGGCCGCCCAAAAATGTCATCATACTATCGAGTAGCGTTTTTTTTTTTCGAGAACCACCCGTAGCCTGACCGACTCCATGCTTTCCGTGGCAAGTGTAACCAGCTTCTGCGTGAGAGCGGCGAGCATGACTGTGGAAAAAAGCAGTCTGTGATCTAACAGCGCGGAGGACCCCAGTTACGCGACGGTCGGCCTTCGGGCGGCGGCGACCTTGTAGCCCAGGGCCAGGCTAGGCAGAGAAATGACGAACGGGATCGAGTGTCTTCCCGGCCTCGTAAGAGACACGAAAATGGAGCCCTCCCTGAGCATTTTTCCCGGGCGACGCCACCCGCAGACCGTACTCGTTTTACAACACGCTTACCTTGCCCCGAGGAGCGGAGACACGCAAGCGGCGGCTGCTGATCCTCGGCTCGCCGTCTGTCGTTCTTCTATCTTCTAGCGATTTTTCTATCCTCCTGCTCTGCGGATCGTCGTATTACGCGACCTGGACGGCCTATAAAAGCTGATCTAGGACGAGCCGGCTCATAGTCGACCGCGACGAACGAGATCGCGTCTTATCAGCCTCAACAGGAGTCAGCCTGGCTAAAAGTTCGCCAATCATGTCACCAGTTGGCTTGGCGTTCCTCGGATTGATCTCTGCCGCCCTGGCCAAGCCGGGCATCCTGTCCGGCCCGCTGATCGCTACCCTGACACCTGGAGCACCCGTTGGACCCGATGGCAGGGTCGTCGACACCCCGGAAGTCGCCGTAGCTAAGGCCGCCCATGCTGCCGCCCAGGTCAACGAGAGGATCAATCTGGCCAACGAGGCTGCCAGGTCCTCTCTGGCTGCCCAAACCGCTGTGATCAACCCTGCTGCCTCACTGGTCATCGGAGGACCTGCTACTCTGCTGGTCCCTGGCGCACCCATTGGACCCGACGGCAGGGTGGTCGACACTGCTGAAGTCGCTGTGGCCAAGGCTGCTCATGCTGCTGCACAGGTCAATGAAAGGATCAGCCTGGCCAACGAGGCTGCCAGGTCCGTCGCGGCTGACTTAACCAGGTGACTATTCCTTTATCTATCTGAAGCTCGATAGCTCTCTAGCTCTCTAGCTAGATCTTTAGCGAAATCCCATACCATGGGGCGAAATCCTGCTGGCTAACTTGGTAGACAGGACACTGAGTCTGAAGCAAATGCTCTTCACTGCAGGACACTGCCATGTGACTTCATTGATAGGTGATTGGGTCCAAATTAGCAGTCTTCCTCTGCTGGATCTTGTTAGCTACCTTTATAACTAACAAGTTATATGTATTAACAAGCTGCTTTTCATGCTGGTACAGTTCTGTTAGCCACCTTCAGGATAAGAACACTAGGGCTATACTAGACGTCCCTCCATTCTGAACCATTAGCAGGTGCGCCCTTTATTCTGGCGCAGTCCTGTTAGCTACCTTCGTGACTATTAAGTCAAACTACATGTTTTTTTACTGCAGAACCCTGTTAGCTACCTTCACAGCTAAAACCCCTGGGACTCGTCCAAGCGCCTTCCACAATGAATCCTTGACAAACTGGTCTTCGAGCGAACACATCGAAGTCTGTTAGCTACCTTCTTCCCTATTGCTGAGCTACTTAGACCGAAACCGCTCATTCCACGACAATTCTGTTTCAGACCAGTCGTAATCACTGGCGGAGTGTTAACAGCGGCAAGCCCAGCAGCCTCAGTGGGCCCTGACGGAAGAGTACAGGACACTCCAGCTGTGGCAGCAGCCAAGGCAGCGCACGCAGCAGCTCAAATCAACGAGAGAATCAACCTGGCCAACGAGGCTGCCAGATCTGGGGCGGCGACGCTCGTGTCAGCTGGCCAAGCTGTGTCCGTGCCCTTACTGGCTGGCAATGCTGTCCTGGTCCCAGGGGCACCGATCGGTCCTGATGGAAGGGTCCAGGACACGCCGGAAGTGGCTGTGGCGAAGGCTGCGCACGTGTCCGCTCATATCAACGAGAAGCTGAACCTGGCCAACGAGGCGGCCAAGTCTGCGGATGTTGTCGCTCTCGCCGCACCGGGACTGGCTTATGGAAGGGTTCTCTACTAAGACTGTGGGCCCAACTCACGCGGGAATTACTATAGATTATAACCGATGTTTAGTTGTCTTTAGTTGGAATAAAGAAACTGGCTGGAACTGTTGTCGATGTCCTTGTTCTTTGCTGGGCTGGAACATTGCTTCCTTGGGTAGCTAGTTGGCTCCAGGGAGCTAAGTTGGCTGAACCACTTCACCTGTTTCCTTTCTGGGTACTTGCGAGTAAACAGGACTGGACAATTCGGGAGAATTTACTGTACTTGTGGTGTATCGGGAATGACATTTTGATTCTATAAATTTTGGATCAAATCGTGGATGAAATGTCACACGGACGGTTGTTGTTCGAAGTTGTATGGAACGGTTTGAATGGTGTGAGAGACTCGGGCAGCCTCAACGCGCGATTTTTGGCTCCAGTTTGTGGTCCGGTGATTAAAAATTTGACAACCGGTCTTGAACCAGACCTGGCTGACCCCAGACCTGTCCGACGCGAAATCGATACGTATTAATGTCATCAGTTTTGTAGTAGAGGGTATTATTAGTGTGTCAAGATCGATTGCATCCGATTCGGGTCGAGGATAGTATGCAAATTAAATAGCGCGGCGCGCAGATGTAATCGCTGGACGACAATGATTTCCGACAAGCTGGAAGAGATGGGAAAATGAACGGAAGGCAAACTGTCGGCCCGTGAACATCCATTTGTGATGCTTATTAGCTTCCACTTTAGCATCCGCGGGCGTATGAATTTTTTTATCAGCTATTTTACAAAGTCGCGCGTTTCAATTCAAACGATCGCAAGCCGTTTCACTCGGATTCTGCCGACTCGAGAATTTCTTTATCCCGAAATACACCTGCGTGTAATTGCGCTGATTACAGAATTGATTCCACAGCGGAAGAAGTATATTCGTGAACCGGTATCGGTAACGTCGGCGCGCCGTTAAGAAATCATATCGAGGCCGGTAATGGGCCGTCGATTTTTACAATATATTAACGTAAAGCCCATCTCGGCTAATGGCGCTGTCGCACGAAATTTACGATCATCTTTATCACGCTTTATCACCCCCGTCCGCAAATAGTTGCCTCGAGCATCAAGATATACATTCGGTTCATAATAAAATATCAGGCGTCGCGCAACAAATATCATCCGCCTGGAAAGCAAACACGACCGGAGGCTGTCCTTCGAATGTTTTTACGTTTTTCGAGACACGCAATCGATTTACATCGCGCTGTGCCAGGCTGATTGGCCGGGCTCTGAAAAAATCGAGCGCCAAACAATCTTCAGCCACGTCAAACGAGATCAAACCGAACCAAAAAACAGCTCGCGCCTACAAGTTCCATATCCTTGTAGCCTGTCAGAGGAGCCTCGCGAGAGCCCGAAGTGCCCTAAACGCAGCTCCGTAATCCCCGCGGCCGCGTCGGAACGAGCCTGGTGCTCGGCCAAATGGAAAATACGAGTAGGACGATAACATCCGGCCCGTATGTGCCCGAACGTCCCGCGCATGGGAATCTCTTCAGCAACGGATTATTACACGGCACACGGATCTCGCGGCTGACCCTGAGCCCCGTCATATTAGGGCATAGCCCGTGTTTCAGGTTTGGCCGTTGGTAAAAAAGCTCCGCGAAAATACTTTCGGAGCCGGATTCCAGCAGGATGGAGTCCTTGAGGGGACATGCGTGACCAGTCCGCGGCGGTTTCTTTGGTCCTTTGACCGTCCGAGTTTCCCCGAGGATGGAAGAAGGAGGACCGGACTGCACAGGGTGTGGTTCTCCATCGGCATGTCCATATAAATAGTCTGTATGCGTCGCACGAAAATCGAAGACGTCCGATCGGAACACCATGAAGTGCGCATACGTAAGTCCCGACGCCGAGACGTGGGTGCAAGCGTTTGGCTATCGTCGCTAGTTTGGTCTCGCGCGGATAGTGCTATCTTTATGGGAATGTGGGGGTCACGTGGTTCAGTGTTTCTCAAGCTTGAGTTGAGATAAACCCGCCGAGAGAGGTCTGCTGCCAGGATACAGGGGACACTTCGGATTGCTATGGGTGGACTGTACGGGTCCTTTGCTAGCTAGGACGATGCTAAAAATTAGAAAGACGGTGCGAGTCAAACTTGGATGATCCTAGGACCTTCTAGAATATGATAGTATGAGGCTGTTCGGTTCCTCTGGTAACTCAGAAAATGCTAAACGATTTTAAAGGCGGCGCAAGTCAAGCTTGAGTGACCCTGGTTCCTCCCAGAGTATGATAGAATAGGAGGACTCTTCAGGTCCTTAAGTAACTCAGAGAATGCACAACAAAATGTAAAGACAGCGCGAGTCGAGCTTGAGCGACCCTAGGTCCTCCTACAGTATGACGGAATAGGAGGACTCTTCAGGTTCTCTGGCTACTTAGAAAGTGCTAAAAAGTTTTGAAGACGGTGCTGGTCAAGCTAGAGTGACCCTAGGACCTCCTAGACCCAGATGGAGGATGTTCAACATTGGATCTAGGTCCTAGCTTGACAACTAGAATTAGGGGACAGTTCAGACTTCTAAAGATTTAGCTTCTTTCGAGGTGCTGGGTTGATCGGTAAATTCGCTTCGTCACTTGGTGTGCCTCTATGTAGGTTCTGCTATCAACCTGCTGCCTGCTTTCCTACGGCTTGGCAAAGCCAGCAGCACCGCTCCTGAATTACCAGGACAGCTTCGGTCAGTACAGCTTCGGCTACAGTAGTCCCGATTCGGCTAGGTCCGAGGTCAGGACACTGGACGGCGTGACGCATGGGTCCTACAGCTACATCGATGATACAGGTACGATCCAGAGTGCAGAGTACACAGCTGATGACCATGGATTCAGGATTACCGCCACTAACCTTCCCCAAGGAACTGCTTTTGTAAGTTAGTCTCTAACTCAATTAGATCTAGTCCTGACCTAATCTAATTCTGGCTTAATTTAGAAGTTAATTATTTAGATTTGACTCAATTCAAACATTAATTATTTAGACGTGGATTAATTCAGACATTAACTATTTAGACCTGGATTAATTTAGACATGAATTATTTAGACATGGATTAATTTAGCCATTAATTATTTAGACCTGGATTAATTTAGCCATTAATTATTTAGACCTGGATTAATTTAGTCATGAATTATGTAGACCTGAATTAATTTAGCCATCGATTATCTGGACCGAACTTAATTTCGACATGTATTATTTAGATCCGATTTAACACAGATACGAATGATTTAGACCTGATTAAATTAGATCCGACTTAATTAAGACCTGGTTTCATCTAGAGTCTAGGTGAGGTTTAATCAAATCCTAACTTAATCTAGACAGGATTTAATTTATATTTGACCTACTCCAGACATTTCCGAATTTAGTCCTGAATTATTCGGACCTGATCTAATCGATTTCATTAACGCTAAAATGATAACTAACAGGTGCAAAACCCTCTGGTGTATGGAGCCGACGGGAAACCTGTATTGAACATACAAAAACTGGATCAATTAGTTGACAAGAGCGACACTAACGTGTTTCTGAAACAAGCGAAGCAGGAAGCAACTTTGGAAGGGAAAAAACAATTGGAAGTGACGGCTACACCCGATGCTGGTAGCACTGGATCTGCGTCCACTGATCCACAGACAAGAATTGGAGACAGCAATGTATTTTTGCAGAAAGAAGGGTCAGCTTTGGTGCCAGAAGAAGAGCCATCAGTTGGTGCAGTGCCAAATGTTGGCAGCATCGCATCGATATTTTCTGATGTCAAGTCTGAAGCGACAATAGGAGAGAACAATGTATTTCTGAAGCAAGCTAAGGAGGAACGGGAGTCAGCTTCGGAAGACAAGACATTGACAGACGGGAGAATTGGAAATTTGGAGGCCAACGTGAAGTCTGAGCCTGGCAATGCAGCTCCAGAAGCGAAACCTAAACTGGAGAATTCTGAGGGAAATTTGAACGTTGCTTCGATGGTATAATAATATTAATGAATTATTAATAATTAAATTGAGGACGATATTATCGTATAAATATTATTTAAAATATTTTCGACCGTATTCTACAGAAGTAATAATTGACAAGAATTATTATTAAACGTGAAAATCTTTTACAGAAATCTGAAGGGGCCTTACTGCAAAAGGATGCTTCGTTAACGAACAGTGAGTATATCGTTCGATTCACTATTTCGCAGAACAATTTGTGTACCACCTACCTGCAAACTCGCGTGGATGATCCAATTAATTTCACGTCCGCAAACAAAAAACTGGGAACAGGTTTTGGCGCCGCAGCGATCGCTCTGCTCTCGAGGTCACTCGACTTCCGGGACTAATGATCTCTCAAGAACACAGGGGGATCGCTTTCAAATAGTGCCAACCATTTCGGGGATCGACCTCCTCAGTATTTGTTTTCAATTAGCCGCGGTATAAATTTTAATTGGCTGCCTTTATTGCTTCGTTGCAGGTTCTCCAGCCTCTACGACGATTTTAAGGCTCGGCGAGGGGGAATTGAAAGCATTGAGCGGCCGAATCGATGCGAAAGAGCCGAGCATGCCTGAAAACACGCAGATAAGGTCGCAGGAGAAACAACAAGCGACAATCGATGCACCCATAATTGCGCCTATCAGCTTGATTCCATTTGACGGCGGTTATCCGACTCTCGTCAGATACGGCGCTCATCACTACATCATTTACACGAATCCGTAGGATAGCCTCGATTTTTCCGCAGTCGATGCTCCATGAAAAATTGTATCTGACATGAATAAATTTTCGAAAATTACGGAATTCTTTCATCGAACAATTTCAATTTTTACACCGCTGCATCGTGATCGAAAAATTGCTGACTTTCAAACCGCTGTAACTTCGTGGAAAAAAATAGAACGACATTCCGACTGAGCTCATTTGAAACAGCGGAGACTGCGCTTTCGTCTGCCATGCTTGGTTTTATCAGAAAAATTTTTTTTAAGGAAGAAGGAGCATTAAGGAAACTGAGGTCAGGTCGTGGACTCGAGGATTCCACCATTGCGACAAAAGAATTGTAGATATTTTTCGCGCTTGCAACTGCGTGTAAAAAAAGATCGTAGAATGATCTACCTTGGCTCAATTTAGAGGGCGGACTCCTGCAGTTTGAACAACGAAAATGATCGATTTGCCTCGTGGTCACACCGTAATGAAGGGCGTTCACAACCTCGTTGTTATACATTTGTCGATTTATTTCTCTTTATCTTTACAAAATAATATCGGCTGCCATCAGACAAGAAACGAAGGTTACACACGATCCATAATCAATTGTTTTCATTTTTGTTCAGCGGCAATTGCGGACAAATTAATGCTAAGTCTTCATATATATCGTCGATTCACGGTGTGTGTATGTTCCCCGTGTGTGTATGTATGTATGCGTGTGTGTTACGTGTGTTATGTGCTGCGTCGCCACAAAATCGTTTGCGTTATAAAAAACAGTCCAACAGCGAACTTATTCTTATGTAAATTTCATTAACATTAGCTAGCGTTTATCTCCTCCATCTTCGTCGCTTTGCTGCCAAGGAAGCTTTTTACGAACGTATTTACATCGTGGAAACGAACCATTTATTTTTGTTTAAACGGCGGCGAATGAAACTATTGCGCAATAATTCATCGGCCGAACGGAATCGCGAAACAATACGATCATTCTCCTCTCCCATCCTCCTCCTCCTCTTCTTTCCACCCTTATTTTTTTTGTTTTCTGTTTTACGATCTATTGTAATTCTTTAACTTCTTAGTGTCTATACATTTTTTTCACTTTTTTTTTTGCTTTGTTAAATTTATCGTTCGACGATCACGCAGACAGTGAAATGGGGGGGAGGAAAAGGTATAATGGAATATATTAGGTCGAGAAAACACGCTTCATTGTTCTTATAAAAAAAGAAAAGAAAAAGAAAAAAGTCGGAATGTAGAAGCGACGTGTGCCCGTTCCGGGAGAAGCCAGCGCAGCCCTCGTCGATTTCTATTCTTTTTTTTTTTTTTGGTTTGTTTCTTTTTCTTACAGAAACGAAGATCGAAGGAAGACGAAATCCGCGATGTACACACCCTCATCCCGTTGACATACATACGTTCGATATTCTCGAGATAATGTCCGTGTCCTCGTACTTTAAACGTTAATAATTGATCCCTCCGCATACGAGGCAGCTAAGTTTGCTCATTTGAATTGTGATTGCGTTCTGTGTTGCACAGGTTGCGCTGCCTTCTCGGCCCCCGCACCAGCGTCGATTAATACTGAAAAATTGTTAACTCTTTCCTCCACGAACGACGCTTGAACTTCTTTTCTTTCCCATAGAATTTTTGTCCCGTCTCCCCGCGTTCGTGCCAGGACACAAACGTTTCTCATTTTTAATTGCACCAACACGAGAGAGAGAGTTAAACCACGTGAACGAAATATGCTTCTCTCCATTTTTCCTTTCCTCTGTTTCCATCTCTTTTTTCTTTTTGGTATTTGATATAATAATGCACATACCGACAATGAAAAATATAAAAGACGCGAACGTCGTTATCTAGGTCNTGGTTTTATCAGAAAAATTTTTTTTAAGGAAGAAGGAGCATTAAGGAAACTGAGGTCAGGTCGTGGACTCGAGGATTCCACCATTGCGACAAAAGAATTGTAGATATTTTTCGCGCTTGCAACTGCGTGTAAAAAAAGATCGTAGAATGATCTACCTTGGCTCAATTTAGAGGGCGGACTCCTGCAGTTTGAACAACGAAAATGATCGATTTGCCTCGTGGTCACACCGTAATGAAGGGCGTTCACAACCTCGTTGTTATACATTTGTCGATTTATTTCTCTTTATCTTTACAAAATAATATCGGCTGCCATCAGACAAGAAACGAAGGTTACACACGATCCATAATCAATTGTTTTCATTTTTGTTCAGCGGCAATTGCGGACAAATTAATGCTAAGTCTTCATATATATCGTCGATTCACGGTGTGTGTATGTTCCCCGTGTGTGTATGTATGTATGCGTGTGTGTTACGTGTGTTATGTGCTGCGTCGCCACAAAATCGTTTGCGTTATAAAAAACAGTCCAACAGCGAACTTATTCTTATGTAAATTTCATTAACATTAGCTAGCGTTTATCTCCTCCATCTTCGTCGCTTTGCTGCCAAGGAAGCTTTTTACGAACGTATTTACATCGTGGAAACGAACCATTTATTTTTGTTTAAACGGCGGCGAATGAAACTATTGCGCAATAATTCATCGGCCGAACGGAATCGCGAAACAATACGATCATTCTCCTCTCCCATCCTCCTCCTCCTCTTCTTTCCACCCTTATTTTTTTTGTTTTCTGTTTTACGATCTATTGTAATTCTTTAACTTCTTAGTGTCTATACATTTTTTTCACTTTTTTTTTTGCTTTGTTAAATTTATCGTTCGACGATCACGCAGACAGTGAAATGGGGGGGAGGAAAAGGTATAATGGAATATATTAGGTCGAGAAAACACGCTTCATTGTTCTTATAAAAAAAGAAAAGAAAAAGAAAAAAGTCGGAATGTAGAAGCGACGTGTGCCCGTTCCGGGAGAAGCCAGCGCAGCCCTCGTCGATTTCTATTCTTTTTTTTTTTTTTGGTTTGTTTCTTTTTCTTACAGAAACGAAGATCGAAGGAAGACGAAATCCGCGATGTACACACCCTCATCCCGTTGACATACATACGTTCGATATTCTCGAGATAATGTCCGTGTCCTCGTACTTTAAACGTTAATAATTGATCCCTCCGCATACGAGGCAGCTAAGTTTGCTCATTTGAATTGTGATTGCGTTCTGTGTTGCACAGGTTGCGCTGCCTTCTCGGCCCCCGCACCAGCGTCGATTAATACTGAAAAATTGTTAACTCTTTCCTCCACGAACGACGCTTGAACTTCTTTTCTTTCCCATAGAATTTTTGTCCCGTCTCCCCGCGTTCGTGCCAGGACACAAACGTTTCTCATTTTTAATTGCACCAACACGAGAGAGAGAGTTAAACCACGTGAACGAAATATGCTTCTCTCCATTTTTCCTTTCCTCTGTTTCCATCTCTTTTTTCTTTTTGGTATTTGATATAATAATGCACATACCGACAATGAAAAATATAAAAGACGCGAACGTCGTTATCTAGGTCGCTCGTCTCTAACCCCACCTGTGTCTGTTATATCCGCAAATACAGTAACATTCCCTTATACATATTAATATAAATCTAAATATTAATATATATATATTTATAATATTCATATTTATATATAACATATTCGTCCTAAACGCGCGCGCGTCTCGCGACCACGCGGCCAACTCTGATTAGCGATTCAAATTCACCCATACTCTCCCCCTCTCGCTCTGCGCTCCCCCCCTTTCCCCACTTTTCATGAAAATTCTCGTCGATTTTCATTCTCGACCCCATTCCAGTCCATCGAAGCTCGAAAATCGTGTCTTTACGTCATCGAGTACAGTTGCTTTTATTTCTGAAATCTCAATAATTTATTGTTAAACATTTTCAGTATCAATAAAACAATACTTCGGACATAAGTGTCGCGTCCAGTATGCTATAGTGCACGCTTCTTGGCCACCGACACGCTTATAGTGAGCACAGAGTCACACTTCATCCCCACTCCTCGTCAACGCAGCGCTCGCAAGATGGCGCTTCCGTAGAGCGATAGAGTGGGGAAAGCTGTGAAACGACCCTCGCACAGACCCTGGGCGAAAAATTCACCCATTTTCTGTTCCGGACGATGCACAATTTGTTTAAACAATCCAACCGAACGGAAAATGGATGAACACCGACAGAAAACGTTCCGACGGCTGTACGACGGTCAAAAAATTTGGTAAAAATGCACGAAAATTTGTCTGCGACCTTTCGAAGGGCACTCCGAACTCGGATGGTCTGAAATGATGGTTCGAACGAGAGAATCCGGTGAAAGGGTGCCGAGGAAGAAAGGAAGCCTTCCTCCGTGTCGAGGAATTCATTCGCACCGATGACTCCTCACGTTTCCCCACCGTTTCGTTTCATTCAATTTCGCTATCATATAGACCGATGCTTCGACCAACATCTGCCTCCGTTACGCGGGCGAGCTTCGTCCCCCTTTCCCCCCCTCTCTAGCCCCCGGAGATTTTTGTTTAATTAACGTGGGCGGTATTCCGTCTCTGTACGCCAACGAAAGAATGGAGCCACTTTTTTTCCGGTGCAGTCGCGGTTCTTTGATTACAAAAGCCGGAGAGCTTAATGGAATTCGAAATGAACGTACACACGGTTTTTTTCGGATTCCTTTCACCGTTACCCGGGTTCGGGAACAAAGGAACCTGCCGGCGCAATTGCAAAAATAGAACGCGGGTAACTTCCGCCATTCTCCGGAATATCCCTGTGCCCTTTCACCCCGGGACCGCGTAAACGAACAGAAAGGGTTCCTTTCTCCGTTCTCGTAAAAAGTGGCTCGGCAAGTGTTTCAATATCGCTCATTAATCGTTAATTATCAGCTAATAATTCGCGAAACTACGTCGACTTATCCGAGCGACAATAAAACATTATACAACGTTCCTTATCGATATCCTTTTTTTCTTTTTGTTTTATCCTCGTTAATATGTGTATGTGTATGTGTCTGTCTCTGTCTCTCTGTGTTATACGTATGTGTGTCCTGCGTGTGTTGCTCCTTGTCAATACTGGTTCATCGGTAGTCCCATCTATTTTTTTGTATCTTAGGCAATCCGCGCGCGGCGCGGCTGGAAACGCCGAACAATTTCTCCCGTAAATTCCCGTCGAATTGACGGAATCCGTCTGATTGTCCG